TACGGGATTCACCCGATCCGCATCTCGCCATATAATTCTCAGGCAAACGGTATAGTCGAAAGACGACACCGCGATGTCCGGGAGGCCATCATTAAAAGCTGCGATGGAGATGATTCTCGCTGGTATCAGGTAGTTCATTCAGTTTTCTGGGCCGAGCGCATCACCATTCATAAAGCGACGGGTTTATCGCCCTATTTCATGATGCATGGCATCGAGCCGATATTTCCCTTTGATCTTGCAGAAGCGACGTTCCTCGCGCCCTTACCAAGCCGAGGCGCGTTCACCACTACTGATCTTATAGCATGGCGCGCGCGCCAATTGCAGAAGCGCATAGAAGATATTAACGCGATTAGGGATAAAGTAGTCGCGGCGCGCTACAAGTCCATACGCGATTTTGAGAGACGCTTCTGCGCGTCTATCAAATCGCACGACTTCGAACCCGGTGCCTTAGTATTGGTATGCAACTCGAAAGTCGAATACGAGCTGAGCAAGAAGACGAAGCCACGCTATTTGGGACCTATGATCGTAGTGCGTCGCACGAAGGGAGGCTCATATATGTTGGCCGAGTTGGACAGCGCGATCTCAAAACTTCGGTTCGCCGCATTTCGCGTCATTCCTTACTACCCGCGTAGCGAGGAGCGCGTATCGGTAACCCAAATGACTGGAGTAGACGACGAGAGCATCGACGAACTAGAAGCGTATGAAACCGTTGAACCCGATGAAGACGAGCCTGAGCGCGCGCAAGACGATTAGCGCGCGCGACCATATTCCGCACGCCCGCGCATCACTCAATCATATTCGCGCGAACGCGCACCCCTCAAAACATAAAAACAAAAACACCAGATAATACGAAGAACACAAAAATATTCCATTAAGTACATACTCTCAGTGTTACCCCGGGTTTCGTCCGGTGATATCTCTCATATCATTTGTTCATATAACGCGCATTGCCTGCACATAAACCCCACAGACTCTAGAATATAACAAACACACCAAGAAACACGCTAATACCCCGCAAGTACATACTGATCACTACCTTAATTGTATAGCGCGCGCATAATCACCTCATTAGACTTTCACTTTCTAACGCGCGCGCGGCGCCGCGCACCTTTTTTTCCTAACTTTCATTTAAGCGCGCGCGCGTTATCGCTTCGACGCGCGCAGCGCAACACGGCAGGAATAGATGATGGAAGGCGCGCGAAGAAGACAAGACGGGCGCGCACCCCGCAGAAAATTCAGTAAAGTCCATTGCATTACCTTGATCTCGTTGCGCGCTTGTCATTTACTTACATACTTATCATTCTAATTTCTTAAGCCCAGTGAATCAGATAAGGACATGGACATGGACAAGGCAACACAGGATACATTGTACAGGCGCATTGGCGCTTAAGAGACAAGGAAAACAAAAGAGAGGTACATCTACTTAAGAGAGTCATTGATCTGCCTCTCCAATTCAGCCCAAGCGTTGGACATGGCGAAAAACTTGTTGGAATAATTGAGGAGGTCCGCCTGTTGGGCGCGCGCATACTGGCGCATCTGGAGAGTGGAAGTGCGCAAGTGCGCATTTTCCTCCTTCAAACGCGCGGCTTCGGCGCGCGCTTCCTTCAACTCCACCGCTGGATCCTTGAACTTGTCCTTTCCCTTAGGCGCAGAACCAGACGCCAAAGGACCAACGGCGCGCACTGGAATATCGCGCGAGGCGCGCACGACTTTCTCCTCCACAGAGCGCTCTCCAACAATCTCTACATCCATCTCAGACTCCTCAGATTCTTCTTCATCCTCAACAGCGATGGAGGAAGCGGTCTCCTTTGCAGACTCAGCAATAGGGCGCTTAGGCATCGGTTTGCGCGGGCGCGCCTTAGGCGCATCAGTAAGGTTGCGCTTAGCTAATCCACAGCAGTCAGCGGCGCGCGCCAATAAAAGACAAGAGGCGCGACTTACAGAAAGTGCAAGCGCGCTTGGACACATCACAAGGAGGGCACCGGCGACCAGGCGCGCCTCCACAGTCAATGTCCTTGGCAATGCAGGCGCCACAGCGCCGCGCTTTGTTCATAGACATGCGCCCGACGCGCGCCTAGCGCAACCAAACATGTTAATAGAGAGGCGCGCCAACAGGAAACAGAAGGTGTACCTTCTTGCTGGCATCAGTACCAGACGCGTCAGTGGCGCGCGCCTCGAGTTCGGAGGCGCCAGTGGCGCGCGCAGCCTGCATGGGAGGCGCCTGAGGAACTGACGCAATCGCCTTCGCCTTCCAGTCCTTCACCACCGCCTCAATCTCCTTACAACTCTTCCGCCCCTGCTTTAACAATTCCGCGCTCTTGTCATCCATCTCCAGCGCCACCGCTAACACACCCGCGCGCATAGAACAACCGTTCAAAGTAGCCTAGGAGTGTCAGTCCATAACCAAGTCCAATACATGTAAGCGCACTCACCAGCACAGAATACCACTCGCGCAACCACATCTCTTGATCCTCGAGGAGTTCCGCCTTGAGTTCAGGCGCGGACATCACGCATCCCTCCAGGGAGACTAAGATGGAGGCCCAAGCGGTGAAGAGGCGATCGGTATCGGATTCCACGCTAGCGTCGCCCATAGGCGCGTCCTCAGGAAGCCCTTGCGCCACTGGAACAGGCTCAGGGGAAGGAGTGGCGTTCAGCATAGCAACATTGAAAGTAGGCATGGTGAGAGATTGATAAGAAAGAAGTTAAGAGATCGCGAGAACGCGTCCATCCTCTTATCAACATCTCCCCCGATTACATCATCGATGCTCGCGATCATCAATGGACAACCCTACTCTCGCAATCACCTGATCCCTGTCTATCACCACCTCTCTAAGTCCAAGATCCCGCGCTATAGCACTGAGTGGGGACACTCAGAATGTAAGTCCCCAGGAGATGTAGAGACTCGCGCGTCTCAATGACGAATATCCGGCCTTTAACCATACATTCCTATATGTTACAGCTCTACTCCTAAGGACCAGTCTCGCGCGCGCCTTATCCGAACTCGCGCGCACTTAGGCGCGCCTTACCTACGCACGCGCGCGTTCGCGCGCCTCCCCATAGGTCTTCGCGCTATCGTCCGTCCATCCGTCCCATGTCCTTACTGATTCGCTGGTGCGTTATTTCTATCTTATCCATTGAACTAATAAAATCTTCAGTCCGACATCCGCGCTACTTATGGAAAGTTTATTTAAACTTAGTTATAATTAGAGTTGATATGGTTACTCGGTTCGGGAGCGCGCTCGGAAGCGCGCCTTCTCCATTCTTAAATACAGAAGGGTTTCCTTTGGTTCTGGTACTTACTTTTCCCTTATCTTTGTGTACTGGAAAGTGAATAGATCACCTCCCCACTTGTTATCTGATCATATCCTCCTGTCAATCCTCCACCTTTGCACTCACTCCTCAGTAAGATCTTGCCTCTAACACTTTAGGCGCGCCTTCACTTCGCGCGCGCGCATTCTCGGACCTCCCGCTCACGCGCGCCTTCGCGCGCGTTATCTTCTCGCGCCTATTAGCGCCCGCCTAGCTCACAGAGTTTCCCTCCACTTTATTTCGAGGAACTTCTCTCAGTGGTTGTCCTTTGGGTCGAGTCGTTGTCTCGTATCCCGGTCTTGCTGTTGAGCACCCCTTTTGTTTTAAGTGTTTTCACGTATAGTCAAGATTCCTCATCTACACCGCACATATGCGACTTTAACGTATGAGGTTTCGATTGCGGCAAATTCGAGAAACTGTTCAAGTGAGCCGTTACTGAGCCCAGAAAATGCCAAAGTTGACTCGGACAACTTACCGTGTCACCAAACCATCCATGAAGTTCTACCGAATTATTCTCAGGAGTGGGAGTATAAACATAGCCTATATGGTAGGAGTTATTGGACTCCATGACGGCGACAGTGACCACTCAGATGGTACTAGTAGATTGACTTCAATAAACTAGTAGGGGGAATGTTTCGTGTTGAAAAATCGTTGTGATACTCACGAGGCTTTTAAGACTTGCAAGTCCTTACATTGACTCAATGAACCAGAAGATTTAGTACGTAGTTGTTGTGTGGTGTACAAGACACGATGGTGATTGCTAGGTCCTGGTCAGATATTGGCTGTGGAGCGTCAGGGGTCCATCACGATAAGATTCAATTCAGTTGTGTAAAATCCTGACCTCATGTTAGTATCACTGAAGGAGGCTCCTGCGGGCATAAGTTCATGAATCTATATTGAGTTGAGTGCTGTGACTTCAAGCGCTGCAGCGCTGAACAGTGAACACGCATATGGTAAATAAACGGATAGAGCCAATTCGCACGCCAGAATCACTCACCCCAAATTAAATCAATAAGCCCAATTTCCACGCTGGTTTGCAGACCCGTTAAATTTGTAGACCCAGTGGAACCAATTTCCATGCTGGTTCGCGGACCCGTTAAATTTGTAGACCCAATGGAACCAATTTCCACGCTGGTATAAACTTAGACCAGCGGCATCTGTTGATGATATCATTGATGGAGTTCGTGCACTTGATTCGTGCCCCTCAGGCCTGCAATGTGTAAGCCAGATAGTCGATTTTAGAGCAGACCGGTTCCCAAACATAGGCAGCACCACACGATCTTGGCACCAGCACATGGTTATTCAATTACCGAACAATACATAATATTATTATGCAACTTACCTCGAGTCTTGACTTAGTTAATAGCGTGGGGTTTGCGCGCTGACTCTACATATCGAGGAAGTTCGTGCGCCAGTGATGTGCCCTGGCGGACTCAAATAGATGTTCAAAATGTGGACCATCTCAACAACAATAGGTGGTTTATTTGGCGTGCTGCGTCTAACAACAGCACTGGCAGTGATTTGATGAGGACAGGGACATAGCTGTGTGTGATCCATGGTTGTGCAAACCCCTCGGAACAATCCGAACTACTACCTACTTGAACTTCGAGCTAATGACTATACGAAGCAACCTGTTCAAAACTCCCACCTCCTCTAACCCTACTAGAGATCAACTCGAACCACATACAACCATGACTATGCCAGTCGTTGACAAATCAAATTCCCTAAGCTGCGCCACATGGCGTGACCATGTTATCCACGATCAAGATGCGATATACCCTTCTCCTCCTGCTTCGCACGAAACTGTAACACAAGAGGCTCTATCATCTGTGTGTGGACCTTGAGTAGTAGATTTCATAAAATGTGACTAATAACAATTAACAAGATGGACGTATTATGTCTTCCTCCGTTCTGGGAGACAAGTCGTGATAGCAATCTCACAATTGCCCTCATTAACGCTCAACGTTCAGAGCGTCGTGCAGAGTAGACTTATTCGGAGACGCTTGAAGCGGGTATTGATCGAACAAGAACTCTATAGTCATATGGAGCAACATACCAATCACAGACTTCGGAAAGCCGACACCAGCATTGGTGTTTCACGTGACGTATTTCGTGCGTGTGGGCTGACACCTGCAGGGAAGATATTCGACGATGTCGATAGCGATGTGTCGAGTATAATACACAATTCCGAGGATTCCTCCTAAGACCTTATCATTTATTAGTACATGTATTTCTTGTTCAATACATCACAGGTATATCGCACCAGTATCTTGGTTACTTTGTTCTTTATGTTTTTGTAATCAGAGAAATGCAATATGAGCCATGTAAAATGATTTCCCGAGCGTAGTGCTGAGTGTTCTCAGGCTACCGTGTCACTACTAGTACTAGTAACTACTAGTCATCTTCTAAAGTCAGATCAATGACCTTTGTTCCGCGGTCTCTTCGCCCAGCCTCTCCTATGCAATTGTGGCGCTCAAATGTCCGTCTTGTCATGATAAGCTGACAATCATTACACTGCGTAAGAAACCGACGAAATTCAGCTTCTGTGAGGCCCGGCTGAGTGAAAGAATCTAATTTTAGAAGCCTGTCGAGCGTGTGAGTTTTATTCCGTTGAAGCTGCCGTTTCTGAATGAAATCTAGCTTAATGTCTATGGGCGGACAAGTCAGCATCCATCTATCATGTAAGTTTCTCCATGGACATGCCTTCTCCGTCAACAAACACGATATCTAGTGGTCTGGCCTCGTCAGGGCCTATTGACATTAGGATTAGTATTGTTAACAGCTATCGCAAATAGTACGAAGCCGCATCTTACTTCGTCGCGAGTAACGCTTTACAGGCAATCCGCATGAATTGAATGTTTGCTCAATGAAAACTACATTCATAAGTGATTAGCGCCATGATAAAGTCAACCAAAATTGATTGATCAACAGAACTCACTGACATATCCACATTTGCTCAAGGCACAACAGGCTATGTACTCTCCTGTACGCAGTCCCCGTTTTGACATCACTATTGCTGCCTCACGGGGATCATTGGGATTATGGTCATCTATGAATGCACATAGACAGTGAGGTCCTCGGAATTGGTGGGATTTTCGATATGCTGCGAGGTCAGAAGGGACGACACGCGCTCCGTTATCGTTGACTGGCCTGGATCCAAATAATGGGTAAGATATTCGATATAATTCCTGACTATTTGGCTAACGCACCAATACCATACATCTAGCGTTTCTCCAGTCTCACTGTCCAGTTCGAGCACAATGTTTGTACTATTTCTGGCTTGAGCCGCAAGCTTTGCTCGCTGACACTCGTGAAGTTCGTCAGCTGTAATGCCGGACTGTACCGTACGATCAGGTGCCATCTGTGAGCGGATCAAACTTGTGTAACTTGTCACACCCCTCAGGTCGGTGAGCATTTATACTATTTAATATGCTAGCCTTAGTTTAATGTTGTTTAGTACCACACTGTCATAAAGATGATTATCAGGCGAGTCATTAGGGCATCATTTGGTGCGCTTACATATGTGTGCCATCGTACTTCCCAATTCAAGTTTTTAGGCGAGTTCTGCTTACTAGTTGCGCGACTTGTCAGTGACAACCCCAGCCGATGTCAGGGTTATTCAATTCCTCGTGGTTCGGCTCAGTTGATACACGCACGCCATGTTATTTCCTAATTGAATTCTATACAGATTTCGTGTCGTGGCAATTACGGACTAGGTACCAGTAAGCGTCCAACCAATTTCGAAAGCGAACTACTACCATCCATTTGTCTAAGTGTTTCCGTCAACTCAGACCTGACAATGGACGACTCATTTGCATCCTCCTCCTATGCGATCCCAGCAGGATATTCGACCATTTGCAAGTGCGGAAGAAGCTTCACTCAGCTGAATGCATATGCAAATCATCAGCGGACGTGTAAAAAGAGGAAGAAATATCTTTCGAATGCACTAGCGAAGGCAAAGGAGGTGTGGACTGCAAGGAAAAGGCCATGTAGAGAAGATGAACGTGACGAGACAGCTCCGAGTCTCTCTCCAACCTGGCATGACTTGGATACCGCAACTCCAGGTCAGACTTCATTCATCGGTTCTGAGCAGGTTGCTATTGATGGAGTGGAACATAATTCAAGGTCAAGATTAGACCTTGCAGGTGCAGGTGCAACTGGTATCGAATTTGAACACAATGTGAGTGCCGTGGTGAATAGTATCAACTATCTTTCTTATGATTAACTTGAATATCGGCACGGTCCTTTAGGATGTCTGTGGCCCTTCAGAATCTTCACATTCGGTTGACGATTCAGGGTCGCTTGCTCAGCGTCGCCCACGACTCCTCAATCGCCATCTTCCTGCACGGTTTCGAGACATTCTTCCTCAACCACTGCCCCCACACACGGCCGAGTCAACTCTGTCATCCGCCACAGATCATCCACCCACCTCGGACACAAGTTCACTGCTTTCACGTACCCTTCGCTTCTTTGTCACACTTCCCAACATGTTTGGACTTTCACGTCGATATTATGGCAATCAACTGCCGACTCATGACCCAGAAGAGGTCACAACTTTGGAGAACCTCACCCTTACACCGTCGGACCAAGTCAGTCGGGATCAGAACGCTGGTGGGGGAGACAAGAACCTTTTCTATCCATATCCAAATAAATCATCGTTTCTCTTGGGCGACTTGTTTTGGAACGGCGGTCTCCAGAAGTCCCACAAAAGCTTCAGGGAGCTACTACAGATCATCGGTAATCCTCAGTTTCGGCCAGAGGATATATCTGCTACGCGGTGGAACCTGATCAACGATAAACTTGGATCTAGTGCTGAAGGTGCGGGACGGCTGACTATGCCATTTGAAGGCGCCGGATGGAAGAAAACTGCCATTAATATCAAGATACCTATCCACAAACGTGCGGATAACCCTGGCGTTCACAACTACCTGACTGCAGATTTCTTTCACCGATCACTTGTATCTGTCATTCGTGAAAAGCTCAAAAATCAAACACACGACGAACTATTCCACTATCAACCATACGAACTACTTTGGAATGGTGGACCATCCAAGAAACCCACCCGCGTTCATGGAGAACTGTATACCTCTGAGGCCTTCATCGAGGCGCATTGTAAACTTCAAGAGTCTCAACCTGAGCCTGGGTGTGAGCTGGAGCGGGTCATTGTTGCTCTCATGTTTTGGTCAGACTCGACTCATCTGACCTCCTTCGGTAATTCAAAACTCTGGCCCTGTTATATGTTTTTCGGGAACGAGTCGAAGTATAGAAGGTGTAAGCCTTCTTGTCATCTATGCAATCATGTTGCCTACTTCAACCACGTATGTACCCACATACTCTCCGCTGTTTGTCATACTCATGTGCTATACATTGTCTTGAAGCTTCCAGATAGTTTTAAGGATTTCGCTACAAGTCACTTTGGTGGTAAAGGCCCTGGCGCTGATTTTATGGCGCATTGCCACAGGGAATTGTTTCATGAACAATGGAAGATCATGCTGGATGACGAGTTTTTAGAAGCATGTAAACATGGTATTGTGATACGTTGTTGTGATGGGATCGAACACCACTTTTACCCCCGGATCTTCACCTATTCTGCCGACTATCCAGAGAAGTAAGTCAAAATTAAACGTAGAGAGTTGATTAACTAAGTTTTCTGCCCACCCCATCATCAGGGCATTGCTTGCTACAATACAGACCATGGGTGGGTGTCCATGCCCTCGATGCCTTATTCCGAAGTCCCGTGTGCAGAATCTGGGCATGTCACTCGACATAAAACAACGCCAGATGCTTGCACGTTTGGATGACAATGTGCGGCAAGATAAAGTCGCCGTCTCCCGCTCACACATTTATGATCGTGGTTATGGTGTTCGTAGCAATGTCGTTGAAAACATACTGAAAGAGCATTCATTAGTGCCGACCTCCGTAATACATTCGCATTGTTATTGAACCCTGCACATATACTGACCATGGCCTTTCAGAATGCGTTTTCAGAGAGACTCGGCTGCCTCGGCTTCAATCTGTTCATCATGCTGGTCGTAGACCTTATGCATGAATTTGAACTTGGTGTCTGGAAAGCGTTGTTCACCCACTTGATACGCATCCTCAGCGCTGCTCACACAGGTGACGCATTGGTGCACGAACTCGATCGTCGGTATGTTTCATTAAATAATCATGATATAGGCCATCTGACTGTTGGAACACTCAAGCTATAGACTCACTCCGACCTTTGGCCATGATACCATCCGAAAATTCAGCTCAAATGCTTCTGAAATGAAGAAAATGGGGCTTGTGACTTCGAAGACCTTCTTCAGGTAATGCTTCATATTTTTCCTACCCATTTTCACGGTTTATATCTGTCCTCTCAGTGTGCTATCCCTGCATTTGAAGGTCTCCTCCCAGAGCCATACAATAGAGATATTTTAACTTTGCTTTTTACTTGCGCCCATTGGCACGCCCTTGCAAAGTTGTGCATGCACACAGACGAAACCCTCGTTTTCCTTGACGCTGTCACTGTTAAACTTGGAAAACAGCTTCGTCAATTCCAGAAAGACACCTGTATAGCCTTCAAGACTCGAGAGTTAAGGCGGGAAGCAGAACATCGCCAGCGCCAGCAGTCACGAAGCCATGTTGGCGAGGCAGAGGTAACGACAACTCATCAGTCAACTCAGCGACTGAAGACTTTCAATCTACAAACCTACAAGTTGCACGCCCTCAGGGATTATTCAACATCAATACACAAATTTGGCACAACTGACTCATACAGCACTGAACCGGTGAATAAACATGTTCTACTACTTATCGATCATGTACTTAATCCTTCGTGGATTGTAGGGAGAGCTAGAGCACCGCACGTCAAAAGCTAGGTATCATCGAACAGACCGGAAAGAATAAGTGGAACAGATTACCCGCTGTAGAAACAACAATACTGAGTGGAACAAATGATGCTCCTGACAGTATCTATAAAAAGTTGTGAGGTCGCGCGTTGCCTAGTCTGCGTTACTTGAGGAGACAAGTGCGTTCGACCCTAGGGGAAGCGAGTGCTGCGAAGATCTAGAGGTACGCGCTTCAGCGAAGCGCGAGAAAGCGCAGGTGCGCGCAAGGCGCGGGAACACGCGCGCGTATTAGCGCGAAGCGTGGGAAAGCGCGCGCGCGTATGCGGAAATGATAGATAGACTAGACTTAAGTGATAATATGATGCAAGAGATGTGAGAGCGCAAGATCTAAAGGAATAGGTTTCTACTATGTTCTGCTAAGTAGTAAGTAAGTAGTAATAGGTAAAATGCGAGGTAAAGTAAGGTAAAGTGTAGTATGTACTGCTGGCGCTTATATAGCGTGCCTAAGCGCGGTCATGCGGAGCCGAAGCGCTACCGAGTAGGTATGTAAAAATATATATGAGTTGAACGACATCAGGCCCGTATGCACCACATTCACGATGAACAAGCGCCACACAGTGTAGCAAATGAGGAGGAAGTTGCGACATCGCCCGAAGCTCATTTCCACATCGGGAAATCCCAAAACTACCCAGAGAATATTACGCTGTTCCTCCAGAGGAACTTAGGGGATCCTGCTGTGAAAGTACGTGTGACAAAGTGTTGCGATAGCTCGAATACGACATGGTGCTGATTCTGAGTCACAGGACTTTTTACCCAAGCTTCAGCGCTTCCTCCTGCCCAAAATTAAGGAGATCTTAACTGGAGAAAGGAGTTTTTCAGATCGTAACAATTCCACCGCTGTCCCAGGAACTACTAGTACCCCAGCATCTTCAGACTCAGAAGGCCATGTCTTTATTAAGGCCGATTGCATGTACAGACACAATCTGATGCGTCTCAATCACACAACGTATGATGTCCGCCGAGCACAGGACATTATAAATCCATCAACATCACACTGCAATATCATGCTCCTGGGACAAGCTGGCGCCACGACCAATTTGGAGTCTGACGACCAATGACATCCATACATCTATGCTCGCGTGCTTGGCATTTATCATGTCAATGCCACGTATATTGGTCCTGGCATGATTGACTATCGCTCACATCGAATTGACTTCCTGTGGGTGCGCTGGTATCAATACATGGGTCATTTCCCAAGTAGGTACTCATCGTTAGACCGAGCTTGCTTCCTGCCTATGGCAGAACCAGACGCATTTGGTTTTGTTGATCCTAGCGATGTTCTTCGTGGCTGCCATATTATTCCCCAGTTCTCGCAAGGCCTACGGCACTCAGATGGCAAGGGTGTTTCTAATTATGCGCAGGATAAGTTGGACTGGAAATCTTATTATATCAATTGGTGTGTCCATTAGCTTTATTAACCTATCCCCACCCTAATATGGCCACTTAGTTTCGTAGACCGCGACATGTTCATGCGGTATCACTTGGGGTTAGGAGTTGGACACACCTACACTGATACTAGTCGCGAAGATACCGACACAACAGTAGTAAACGTGGAAGATTTCGAGGACTTCGAAGCAGAAGGGGAAGTGACTTCTTTGCAAGATTGCGGCACAGATAGTGAAGTGTCCGACTCAGACTCAGGATCTGATTCAGGCAACGACTCGGAGGACTCGGAACAGTGTCTAGATTATGATGAGTACGATACCCTAGACTACGAGAACTAAGTGTGGTGGTAGTAGGCTATGATAGTTTGGGACGACTAAAAAGGAAAACTCACGTAATCACATACATGACTCAGAATATCATGACCCCGAGTCGCAGAGGGTGCCAGTGATGACGTTCTCAGATATAGACGGACAGATAGATCCGATGTTTTCGTGGCTCCCCACCATTGTAATTATTATAATTTATTGTCGACAAGCATTGCAAAATGTAGCTCTGGTGTTTGTTATTGATTATATCTATGTGGCTTAAGTTTTATTTTGTTGATTTGAGATTAGGGTAGTACTACGAGTTCGGGTTTCAGATGGATCATGTGCGGATCTGGTTCTTTCAGTCACCTCATATTAAGTCCTACAAACCAAGACCTACTAGTGTGACCAAGGGATACTGATACTTGTTTAGCAGCTTTTGAAGATCTAAGTTCAAACTAAGCTGCGGTGGACTCGGATTAAATTCTCAATGTCACGTCGAACTACTAGTACCAATCGGAGGGAGCGACTCCGAGTCAGGGCTAGGAAAAGGTTCATCCGACCCACAAACATAAGGGGAGGCAAATTGTCATTCTGTCATACTAATTTAGGTTGGTGCGTTATTGCTGGAACCTGCAACAGTTTGAGCTCCTTACTCAAAACTGCACCAAACATCACGGCCGAACTATTTAGTAAGTTGAGTTGTTGTCATGGCGTACTCGGAACTGATTATCATCCTCTCTTGCAATCGTTTGCACCTAGTAGAACCATGTCTGACGACCAGCCTGAGAAATCTTGTGGCCAATGTTGCAAACAAGTTGACGCCCTTCAATTAGGTCCAAGGAAAAGACCGTGAGTGCCTTATTTGCAGGAGCCATTCGCTACTGATTTAGATTGCAATTATAATATAGAAGCGTGACTGACCCATTGGTACACTATGGGCGTCATTTTGGACGAACTGTTCATGCTCTTTGCAACTTCCAAGCCCTTCTGACAAACGGCATCTTACGGATGGGAGAACTGGTCGATGCGCCAGAAGAAAACTTTACCGCCGAGTATGTTACTCTCCTGCAGTGTTGCTGTATTTAACCAAGTGTATACTCCAAGGGAAAGGTGCGAGCATCGTGTTTTTCAAGAGCTCCTGAAGTCTGTTGCAGGACTGGAAGAACGCTTGATGCAGGACAGAGGTGACGAAGTTGACATCATTGCAGAGCTGGCAAGTACCGTCCACTGTTCCTAGTACTACTTCGAGTTAGTTACTTATCTTACATATCATCAGCTCACCAAAGGCGCATCTGGTGCCAGGGGCGATGATACAAAAAGCCTCAAAGGTAGTGTACTCGACTGGATCACCCCAAAGGGACAGAATCTTGTTCCTCCTCTTGCTCGCAATGTGAAAATTGACCGCGGCTTTCATCATGAACGGACAGGTGCTTTGCTATGTCCTGCCGGTATCGACTGGTCAAACTCAGAGTGCGTGATATTTTATCTATATCTTTCCTTGGTGTAAATACTGATAGAGTACAGAACAAAAGCTAAGCTACGAAGTGGCGAGATCATTGTGACTGGAGACCAGTGGCCACTGTTCTTGTATGCCGATTATCGTTACGATCCTGAAGATCCGTGGAACGGTTTGTTTCAAAGCGCCTTACTGGTTTGTGTATGATACAAGCTCCATCATGTCGCTTCCAAATGTCTCAACTAAGATTACAGGCCTACAAACACGTCTTTACGTCCCCCAGTTCTGTAGACAGAGAACCAAAGGCAACTCGTTCAGGTAATGCCCGGATTCACGAGATGACCCAAGTTACTTTGCCCTCGGTTGCATACATTGCAACGCAGGTGTGTCAATGTTTCCAATCTATATTTCCGATATCCATAATACTGAGTGACTATTCCTTCCAGGTCCGATTTGCCCTCACGTCATCACCTGTGTTTTCACGCACTGACACGGTCACTGACTCTGAAAGGTTCTACAACTCCATTTTGGACGTTTTCAAAGACCCAGACGAGAAACAAGAAGTGGATAACCTTATCGTATGGTGGAACAGGTAATTGATTACTTGGAAGTTATATTCTGTTCCGCTGAGTCTAGTGCGTTCCAGGCAGGTCTTCCCTTCATTCTCGACTGCTCAACGACCCCTTGCCAAGAATAGTGCGCTAGCGAGGATTCGAGAGAAGCGAGCACAGATGAAAGAATTAGTTTTAGTCCCTAATAGTGGTAACGGCGGTGTGTAGCATAAAGTGAGGACATAATGTTCGATTTTCCACTGTAACTACTGGTAGAGAATCTATATTTTGTGATCCCGCTATACACTGTGCATGCCGCGAGGAGCTTGTAACACATCACCGAAGTTATACCCAACATCAAACTGAAATGTGATGATCAATTCTGCTCATTTTTATATGTTTTTGCCAATGGCAGCAATCAAGATAGTTATGATGCTATGATACCGAGGTTATACCCAACATCAAACTGAAAATGTAATGATCAATTCCACTCATTTTTGTATGTTTTTATCAATCCTTGGCAATCAAGGTAGTCCTGATGCTGTGGCCAACTATAGTGTCTGTCTTGTACTGCAGATTTAGTCTGGTATTCTCGCTCCAAATTCACCAGCAAGGTCATGATTACTTTGCTGGTAACGAGTACAACAAATGTATTTTTGGACAATGCTGATAAGAATGATATTGATTGGACATGCCATAAAGGCAGGCATCCATTATACACGTAGATACTAGAGTTTGTGGTGCTGCACAATTTTAAAACTTGACCCTCCTTGCCATGCAGACACCCCCTTGCAATTGCTACTATCACCATGGTGACATTTGTGAGTTCTGTCAAGGCAAGCGTCCCTTGTAATCAAAGGCACTATGATCCACAAATTTGTCACAATTGCAATGCTAGATACCACATGATCATTCGTTAGAACCTTTATCAAAGAAGCTCATCCTTACATACTTGGCAAGCCCCGTCATCTCTATCCTACTATATAAAACTTCACAATGTAACTTATCAATATTGCATATAATATAGGCATTTTACTTGTTGTAATTCTTTATATATCTATACAATTCCATCATTGGATGTCTGATGTAGTGAACCAATGAAACCCCAAGTTTGGTATACCTTGGATATGGCTCGGATGCGCAGATTTACAGCATCTGCGGACAAATTATATGTGAAGTCCTCAGACTCGGAACATCACTTTTATGGCTTGCTGTCCAAGATTTGGCACTGGCGGGCCAAACTTTACTACAGGGGAGACATTGTCCAGGTGAACGAGCACTTAGAAAACCTTCTACAATGCACATGTACTCGATACCTCGCCCGCCGCGAGGCACTTATGGGGCTTGCAGAGGTGGCATTTTGCGAAGGCAGGCTATCCGAAGCCATGGATATCCTACAACAAATCGTAGAGATGTCTGAGGGAGAACGTTCGCATGATATCTTGTGGTATACTGTGTTGAAGGCCATTGTTGCAAGCAAGCAGGGGGATCATACCCTTGCAAGGGAGCTCATCTACAAAGCCCCAAAATCCTCCCAATTCTTCGAGCTGCGCAGTGCATTCATATTTCTCCACAGATCTTGTGGCGCGGCATGCATCGAGCTCACTGCGGGCGCATACGACAAGGCCGAATCCCATTTCATAGCTACCATTGAAGGTTGTGATATCCAAGGACATCTTAATTTCAAGGCATATAGCAAACGGGGACTGGGGGAGATTGCCTTTGCGCATGATGACCTTGCGTTAGCTGCATGATACTTCATAGAAATCCGGTCTTTGTGCACTGAGATGGGAGTGCCTCTGCGACATTTGTACAGTGGCGAGCCGTTCTATGTCCTGCCAGACATATTTTGTGGATGGACATTATTTTTAGAGGGTCAGTCGCCATTTGCGAACATCATGTAGATCATATACATGTACATGTAATAACAGCCTGCCATTGTATCTCAGACGATTATACAAGTAGCTTCATCATGATATATCTATGACAAAACAATGATGAGATGAACGCAGGAGATGAGTGAAGCGGAACGCATGGAACTTCAAGTGTGTACTGAGATTGCTATGACACGGGAAGGCTGTGATACAGATGTGTTACATAGAGAACGCGTCTGTTCTTCTTATCATCACATATCTCACTTCCATTGTCATATGGTAGTGCGCGAGCTGGATCTGGGACATCTCCTCAGATTGAAGGCTTATGAAAATGACAAAAACTCACGATAGCCTATAGGTAATTGCTAGTCTCCCATGAGCTAGACCAGTAGAGAAAAATAGATAACTATGCACAATTCATTCATCTCATCTTCTCCGACTATGAGCTCATTCTCGCGCGCGTCATGTAGGTGCTATCCCCTAAATCGCATCGGCTCGTCTGCACCTTTAAGTCAACGATGATCCTCCAGCCTAAACTGGTTGAGTGGCCCAGGCCCAGGGCACACGGTTTTCATAGAATAAATTACTCAGGTTCGTATTTGCAGTGCTGGTTCACCACTGGAAATGTTTGGGAAAGGTTCAGGACATTGGCCTTGCGTCGAACCTAGGAGTCCGGTCAATCGGTGTAGCATCCGAGTGGGATAGAATAATTCACGTTCGTTGGAACTCAGGACCTCTGCAACTCTGGCAGCGATATGGAGATGGCGGGAAAATAGGCAAAGCACATACTATGGCTGTCAGATTGTCCATGAGAACAATGAACTCAGTTAATGGTACGAGAGTTCAGAATACGAATAGATTCTCAAAGTTCAAGTTGCAAGAGATGGTGCTAACTCGGCGAATGAAGATCATAAGCGAGGAATATCTTGTTGAAATTGCTGTAACACATCGGGGTGAATGATATTTAAAAGAGGTTTATATGTTGTACAAAATGTGAAGACAATATTTAATATTTAAACTAACATAAAGATGGGTGCACGACTTCAAATTTTGGTGGTGTTTTGTGTGTAATCCAAAATATCAAATATTCACAACCATATTCCCACAGACAATATGTCAACAAACATAAGAAATATAGTCAGATTTTTCATGTCTGCTTCAACTTAAAGTTCAATTTCCATGTAAAACTTTGGAGAAAACTTGAAGTTTTACAGATGACATGACATTAAAACTCGATTTAAATGTCAAGCTTTGGCAAAACTTCAAGTTTTCTCCAAAGTTTTATGTAAGAATCAAACTTTAAATTGAAGCAGACATGGAAAATCTGATTATATTTATTATATTTGTTGACATATTGTCTGTGGGAATATGGTTGTGAATATTTGATATTTTGGATGACACACAAAACACCACCAAAATTTGAAGTCGTGCACCCATCTTTATGTCAGTTTAAATATTAAATATTGTCTTCACATTTTGTACAACATATAAACCTCTTTTAAATATCGTTCACCCCGATGTGTAAGTTTAACAACTCAATGTGACATCCGCGTCTAGTAGCATCACATGATGTGACGAAATTCTTTCTGTACAAATGTGTTATTGTGCTTTGTCATTTTGCTTGCCGCCGGTGTGTTAGGAGGGAGTCGATCTCGGGTCAGCCAGTGCTATTAATGTCATTAGTATCAACTTCATCAACTAATCTGTCACAACCTCAGCCATTCTGGGAAGAGTGGGTTCCCACTGGGGCTCAGCGCTCAGCGCTTAGTTCTTAGATTCGTTGAGCTCCACAGAATGACACGATATCCACAACGAACCAGAGCAGAGCTTGCAGGAGAAGCTCAGACGACAGACGGCCCTCCGAGTCCGTGTGCACCTGCGACACAATACCAACATTTCATTCCACGGTTCATATTGCGAAGATTCCAAGTCAGACCTGTGAAGTGCGTTTTCAGGGTCCTCTCGAGCACTTTGCGTGTAGACACTAGACCGGAGCACTGAATGATATTCTTTGCAGGTCCAAAACAGAACGACAAAAAGAATTTCAACACACCGGTGTTCACTACTATGACGTTGCTACAGGTAGTCTTGACGTTCGTCCTATTGGAAAGGTTTATGGCCTGGAGAATGCCTACCAGGACGTCCGCAACACTGATGATATCAACGAACTAGAGAAGAAATTAGCGGTCCTCGAAGGTCAGGCAGCCTGCATTATCAAGCACTTGCATGAAGCGCTTTCTCAGGGTACTTTGACTCTGAAGCGGAGGTCGCTAGAGGACCTGCGGAAGTTCCTATTTATCATGCATTATCGCAATGTATCGTGCTCCGACATCTACTTTCAAGCGGATCACCCGGAGAACGCAAGGAGCCGTCGGTGGATTGAGTCCTTCATGCAGGCGAAGGGTCTTCATTCTGCTGCCGAAATATGGCTATACTTCCTCAGATACTATCTGGATACATCTCATTCAAACATCATGCGAGATGCTGCAGAACTCGTAGAGAAGTACGGCGAAGGTGGTCTTCAAAGAATGATGATTGAATCGCATATCCCACCTGATCTCGAACACTTCCCAGCTTACACTTACTACGTTCAGGCGAATAGCTACTTTCTCAGTATCTGGGAAGCCGCAGAGGGAGAAGAATTCATCATCACATCCCACGCATTTGGTTTATGGGAAGGTTTGGGATTTGGCTTCCCTGGCCTGCACTGCATATTCATAGTCAGCCCTCGCATTGCTATCGTCCTGCGTCATGTGCTATCGCGTCCAGAATTGAAAGAACATATGAAGCCTGGTGCCTTCGTGAGCTCCTTACTCCACGTGAATCCAGCACCGCCAACTCCCATTTACACCTGTGGAGAACACGGTACACATATCGACCAAGTAAATTTCCAATCTGCGATGGCACTTGCACGTTACAGATCCTCCAAGAAAGGGGAGCATGACAGTTTTGTGTTCAAGATCACAAAGCTGTCACGATCCCAAACTTTGGAATTCAATTCCGTTCTATTGGTGAACGTGACGAAGACAGGCTCCTTGACCTTCCTGTCAAGGGGGAGTATGCTTCGCATTGCGTTCCGGAGTTTGCCAGCCAATATCCATGCGAGCGAGCTGCTTATTCCGCTCATTGCGCGATTAATGGATATCACGGAGACAGAAGTGTCGCCTCTTTGCCCACCTTCACAGTCCCCAGCGGCTGTCCTCGACCAGGACGTTGACGCACTTACACACGTTGATGTAGTGCATGTGCTTCTAATGCAGATATGCACAGATATCAAGCGATTTGAAACGGCATACGACAGGGCACATCTAGTCTTCAGAATCATGGAGAAAGCAAAGCCCACTCCATTCGCACAGGAAATCAGCCGAGAAGTCGAGAAGGCTTTCAAGGTCTGCAAAGATTCGGAGGATGACATGCCCATCGGAGAGGGCGTCAGCTTCGCTCCTTTACTCTCTTCAATTTCCAACGAGTTGTCTTCTCAGCTCTTCCAATTCATGATACCTTGCATGAGCAGACTGGGCGCAGTGATGTCTGGAGGTAAAAGGATTTTGGAAGAGCTCCAAGATGAAGTCACCGTGGTGTGCTTTCTTGCACGTGCATCGAGCAGCCCAGCAGTGTGGCATGCCCTCTCGTGTACCAGCCCACAGGCCCCTGAAATCTTGTCAAAACTATTCAAGGAAGGCACTCCAGGAGATGCATCTACTGTGGGCTTCGCGCGGTTTGTGTACCGTCAGCTGGCTTCGCCATCATCTTTCTCTTCCGGGTTCCACCTGGCATATTCATTGCGAGAAATGTGCGCGATGTCTGGGCCAACCACTAATTTTGTTAGTCGGAGCTACTACCAGTTAACGGCTTCTATAATACAATGTCTCGGTCGCACAATGCTGGGACCCCTGCCAGAGCCATATGCTTCGCAGCCACGCGAGAGGCCCAAGGCTCGGCTTGTCTACAGAATCCCAGAAGAACATTCAGACTTACTTTTTTCGAATATGAAGACGCTACTGCGGCATTCGCTCCCGGGCTATGTGCCATCGCCAGGAGGGAACACTCCAGAAGAGACCCTCATGAGGTGGATAGATGAGATGGCCATCGTTGGTTGTCTTGTGTGGTTGGGGAAGCACAGGAGGAATTATTTGGACTTCATTTTGGATGGGTTTCTGCAGGGTACGAATTTCAAGCTGTTTGAAGATGAAGAAGCCACTAGGAGTACCTAGATCGACTTGTTCGAATTGATCTTCTATATAAAGTGTACTTACTGAGACGCATCAGTTGTATATTTTTGAATGAAATGAGGATTGATTAAGCAGTGATAATTGCAGGAACTTGAAGGTTTTGCATGGCAGCTAAAGCATGACGATTACACTGGCAGTGAGTAACTTTGTCCATGGCGTGGACTGTCACGGTGATTCTGTGAAGTCGAAAGTGATTCAAGGTCCGTCCGACTCAGACTCGTGCGGCGTTGAAACTGCTGTCTCTACGGTAGATCTACCAGTTGTATACGTACTAACCATTAGCTCACAACCTTCCACACCGCGACTATCATGATCATATTCCTTCCTCAAGATGTCCTCCTCCGACGTCCCCATGCACCTGTTAACAAATTGGCCGACGCTTCCAGGACCACTTGAATGAACCTTGACAACAACTTCGAAATTACCGCTACCAAGTAAAGGCTTCACTACGTGATTTGATAGACGAGAATAGATGCTGATATGTAGTATCCCCCACAAATGGGTAGCTTGACTCTCGAGGCGACGCTTTCACCACTCAGACCCATGCGCTGGAATTGTCAGACAAACGACTGAAGGTAACTTAGGGAAGAAGGTGCGTATTCAGGAATCGTAGTGTGTGTTTCTGACTCTGGCCCAGAATGATTCAAACGTCGAGCAGCCCTCACTTGAAATAACTAGTAAGTCTTTCAACCATCAAATTTGAAGTTTTCGTAACTCGTAGGAGCACTTCAAGTTTGGCATAAAGTTTGCTGGCGCTCCGAGATCCTGCCCACAAAATATTCACCCTTCTTCATTTCGCTAGTGCCCTTGTTGGAGTCCTTGACAGATGCTTTGAAGAGGTCGGTAGACTTATGTTGCCGTAGCACGGGAGTGCCTCCCCAGTGTAACATTCGATCATGCTCTCAAGTTCAGGCAGTCGGAGAGATTTGAAGGACGGGCACTAATTTTCGAAGGTCAGTCACACTCTGCGGATCCAATATTCATGTCACGACATGTACACGAACTAGAGATCTATGTGCAAGTGCCAAGAGGTGCCGAAATTGACATTGACCTGAAATGCACGAATCACTTTACACGCTGCCACACTGACTCTCACAGTCTAGCTTGGCCACCATCAGCATTATATCCTTTCACGTGGGGATGTTTGTTGCTGCTCTTGTTGACTCGACACTCTAACAGGGATGCATCATATGCAGGGTGCGTGTGGGCAGACGTTACCCCCTCTCAGACTGATTTTGTTGCGTAGATGTGTCATGATATATTGCGCTATGCCATGTAGATATTTGTACGGATCATATTAGGGTGGCTATACAGTGAATACACAATGTGGCAAGACTCAGTTCCTGAGCTTGAACATTTGCCAGATATATCGCCTCATTCAAAATAAAGAGACCAGATTTCGATTGCATGAAGATCAGCTGAGCCGAAGTACTGTGAATGTATAGCTTCCTGATGAGTGTCTCTTCGGTGTTCCAGATGTGAGTACCCTCATCGCAACCTGAATAGATATTTCCCATGGCATCAAACTGAATGCAATCGGGAATACCGGAATCGGAGGCGTTTTGCCTCAGAACCTCATTGCAATCATGATTGATGGAAGAAACTCACACCATAGACAAAAGAGTCTGATTCGTTGCGAGGAAGCCTCTAAAAACACCACTGTCGATGCTGATAATTATCACTTTATCCTTGGATCAAAAGGCAATCCAAGGACAAAAAACTTACACAAATGCACATTTGCCGTCGTGGGTGAATGTGATACCATTCGGATGCACAAACTGATCAGCAACAACTCTGACCTGCCCAGTGGATGGATAAAAGCAATATACTTGTGATAGAACCATAGAAAATATCGTAAACATCATTTTGCTACAATCAACTCACGTTGGATCAATGAAGAACATGATGTTCGTGCCAGGGAGAAATATGACATCATTGATCGAGTTAAAGCGTCTGCAAGCTGTCTAGAATAACAGTGACATTGTAGGGAGGGCTATGATTGATACGTACAACCGAACGAGGAAACAAAGCGCGACCCAAAGTGATGGTATCTTTTGTATGGACCTGTGCCGCCATTTACCATTTGGAAATGTCCGAAGGTTGAGCTGAGAGTTAAGACTGCATTGAGATCTGGTGCTTTGTGAGCAAATGCAAAGCTAATATCTGAAGCAATTGAGGGAATGGTGGCAGATGATCCGGTAACATAGAGGAACGAAGGGTTTGGGAAGACCGGCTCTGACAGGGACGTCCTCGATTTCGACAAGACCTGGCATTTTGTGGAAGGGGTAAATGCCTTGCGAATGAGAGCAGCACACATGAACGACGATATCTTATCGTTGAAAAGAAATACCTGCAGTTGGAGGCCACCTCCTTGTGTAAAGCTCTTCTACTATCGATGCACAGGAGCTTCTAAACGTTTACATAAAAGCTGGTTGAAACTTTCAGAGACGAAATGGCGGAGTTTGAGTACCGGTTAACTCTGACTTTCGTGAGCACCACTATAACTTCGCCTGATACTGAGACTATGACCTACTTTGACTTTCACGATCTCGAATTGCCTCGTCTGTGACATGGATGCCCGGTAGTCACTGGTTAAAACGAAGTTTAAATTTGAACTTCATCAATCACATAACTTAATAAGGTATACCCTTTAACGACAACACCGCCACATGGATATGGCGTGTTCATCGCACGTTCAAGCGCTCAGTACTCAGTCCTCAGACTTGTTGAACTCTACAGAATGACACGACGCCGCAGGAATACGCCAAAACAACAAGCCAGAACAGAGCTTGCAGGAGAAGCTCAGAAGACAGATGGCTCTCCGAGTTCGTGTGCACCTATGACACAATACCAACATTTCATTCCACGGTTCATATTGCGAAGATTTCAAGTCGGACCAGTGAGGTGTGTTTTCAGAGTCCTCTTGAGCACTCTGTGTGTAGACACTGGACAAGGGCACTGAATGATGTTCTTTGCAGGTCCAAAGCAGAACGACAAAAAGAATTCCGACGCACCGGTGTTGATCCTGAATACGTCCACTACTACGATATTGCTACGGGTAGCCTTGACATTCGTCCTATTGGAAAGGTGTACGGCGTACCGAATGTCTACCAGGACGTCCGAAACTACCTCATAATATCAACGAAGTAGAGGAGAAATTAGCGGATCTCGAACGTCATGCGGCCTCCATTATCATGGACTTGCATAAGCGCTTCCTCAGGGTACGTTCACTCTGAAGCGGAGGTCGCTAGAACTCCTGAGGAAGTTCCTAGTTTATCATGCATTATCGCAATGTATCATATTCCGGCACTTACTTCCAAGTGGATCACCCAGAGAACGCAGGAGGCCGTCAGTGGATCGAGTCCTTCATGAAGGCGAAGGGTATTCATTCTGCTGTCGAGATATGGCTACACTTCCTCAAATACTACCTGGATTCATCTCATTCAGGACATCATGCGAGATGCTGCAGAACTCGTAGAGAAGTACGGCGAAGTAGGTCCTTCAAAAAATGATAGTTGAATCGCATATCCCACCTGATCTCGAACACTTCCCAGCTTACACTTACCACACTCACGCGAACAACTACTTCTTCAGTATCTGGGAAGCAGCGGAAGGGGAAGAATTTATCCTCACGCACAACGCATTTGGCTTGTGGGAAGGTTTAGGCAGATGGCCACCCCGACTTGCACCGCATATTCATAGTTAGCCCTCGCGTTGCTCTCATCCTGCGTAACATCGTATTGCGTCCAGAGATTACAAGCATACGTAAAGCGGATTCCGTTCGCTGAGCTCCTTGCTCAATGTGAATCCAGCACCACCAACTCCAAGTTACGTCAGTGGAAAAGACGGTACCCACATCGGCCATGCAGATTGGAATTCTGCAACGTCACTTGCACGTTACAGATCCTCCCAGGAAGGGGCGAATGACAGTTTTGTGTTCAAGATCACAAAACTGTCGCGACCCCAGACATTGGAGCTCAATTCTGTCCTATTAGTCAACGTGAGGAAGACGGGCTCTTTGACCTTCCTGTCTAGGAGGAGTATGCTCCGCACTGCGCGTGCGTTCCGGAGTTTGCCAGCCAATTTCCATGCGAGCGAGCTGCTTGTTCCGCTCATTGCGCGATTAACAGATACCATGGAGACAGAAGTGTCGGCTCTTTGCCCACCATCACAGTCGCCAGCGGCTGTCCTCGGCCAGGACGTTGACGCACTCACACTCGTTGATGTAGTGCTCTATGTGCTTCTAATGCAAATATGCATGGGTATCAGGCAGTTCGAAACGGCATACGACAGGGCACATCTAGTCTTCAGAATCATGGAGAAATCAAAGCCCACTTCATTCGCAGACGAAATCAGCCGAGAAGTCGAGAAGGCTTTCAAGGTCTGCAAAGATTCGGAGGATGAGATGCCTGTCGGAGAGGGCGTCAGTTTCGCCCCCCTACTCTCTTCGATTTCCAACGAGTCGTCTTCTCAACTCTTCCAATTCATGATACCTTGCATGAGCAGACTGGGCGCAGTGATGTCTGGAGGTGAAGGGATTTTAGAAAAGCTTCAAGATGAAGTCACGGTAGTGTGCTTTCTTGCACGTGCGTCGACCAGCCCAGCAGTGTGGCATGCCCTCTCGTGTACCAGCCCACAGGCCCCTGAAATCTTGCCAAGGCTATTCAAGAAAGGCACTCCAAGAGATGGAACTGTTGTGAACGTCACTCGGTTTATGCATGAGCGCATTTCATCATCTGGTTTCTCTTCTGGTTTTCATATGGCATATTCATTACGAGGAATATGTGGCATGGCTGGGCCAACCACCAATCCCGTCAGTCAGAACTATTACCGGTTAACGGCATCTATAATTCAATGTCTTGGTCGCATGACGCTGGGGTCCCTACCAGAACCATACTCTTCGCAGCCGCGCGAGAGGCCCAAGGCCCGGCTCCTGTTCAAGATGTCAGAAGAGCATTCAGAGCTACTTTTCTTGAATATGAAGATGATACTGCGGAAAGCGCTCCCAGGATATGAGCCTTCGCCTGGAGGGAGTACTCTAGGTCAAACCCTCGGAAAGTGGATAGATGAGATGGCCATCGTCGGTTGTCTTTCGTGGTTGGGAAAGCACAGGAGGAATTTTTTGGACTTCATTTTGGATGGGTTTCCGCAGGGTATGAATTTCAAGTTGTTTGAAGATGAAGAAGCCACTGGGAGTACCTAAATCGACTTGTTCGAATTAATCTTCGTTCAAGATCATTTACTGAAACGCATCAGTTGTAGTAGTATTGTACATATCTTTGTGAATCAAATGCCAGTGAGGATTCATTAAGCAGTGATGATTGCAGGAACTTGACCATAGGCTATGTATGGCAGCCAAAGCACGACGATTACACTGGCAGTCCATGACATGCACTGTGAAGCTTATTCGCGGTCCGGTAAGAGTGACCCTACGAGCTCATCTATACCCACATGACGATAATTTGATATAGTAGCTCACATCTCTCCACACCATCATGATATTCTTTCGCCTATCACCCTCGAGATGTCCTCCTCCGATGTCCCTGTGCATCTATTAACTGATGCTTCCAGGACCACAAGTTAAATGGGCCTTGACAGCGGCAGGTTCAAAATTACCACCACCAAGAAAATGCTTAGAGTCGGACGCACTACATGATTCGATAGAGGCTAGCGTGTAGTTTCCTGTGTAGTCTCCCATCCTCAACGAGTAGCTTGACTCTTGAGGGACCTTTTCACCATTCGGACCGGTGTGCCGAAAGTGTTAGACAAGTGGCTGAAGGTAAGAGTGCGCCTATTCAGAAATCATTTCTGATTCCAACACAGAATGATTCGAACGTCGAGCAACCCTCTTTTCAGCTCTAGCCTGAAACAACTAGTAAGTCCTTTAACCATTAAACCGGTGTTATTATATCAAATAGTGTAAACGTCATTTTCCTATGATCAACTCACATTGGATCAGTGAAGAATATGACGTCCGTGCCACTCAGAATTCTGATATCATCGAGCGAGTTAAGTTGTCCCGAATAACAGTGGCAGGTCTACTAGGCACAATCGGAGGAGAAAGCAAAGCGTGATCGAAGTGACGAACAAAATATCTCCGTCGTATAGACCTATGCCCCCATGTAACATTTGGACAGCGCCCCGCAGAAGGTGAAGCTGGAAGTCAAGACGGTCGAGATCAACAATCTGTGCGTAGTAAGTCAGCGGAACCAACCCATTTGAACTTGTATATTAACATCTCCCGTTGTAGAAGCCAGCGCCATGTCAACTTCTGTCATATTGATCATGCTGAGATGCTGTTCTTGTACCAGCCGTTGTACCCGAGTGCATCAGTTGCTTGTAAGGAGGCCTGCGTTGAGGTCTGGGATGATCTGGTGACATGGAGGAACAAAGGGTCAAAGACCTGAATGAATGTGGGTGCAGTGTTGGTGGGATTAAAGCCAACAGTAGACAAGGTGCGCCATACTGTGTAGTTGGGTCCTACATTGTACATCAGAGGATTAGCGTACTGCAAAGGGACGTTAGGTACAGCACTGCAGCATCACGATCTTTGACATACCGCTCCGGGAGACACGGTAAGGTTAGAATTACTCGCCGAGACCTTCGCGCACCACACAAGAGCCGTTGTGACAGTCAAAATCGCACCCTTTGTTGATGCTGTCATCTTTGATTAAGATGCATCTCCCCTATTTCCAGTTTTCAGAGATAGCCGGTGGTCGGACTGTATTATCAGCTAGATCGTCACAAGTGACAGAGGGTGTACGGCAAGTGGGGGCTCAGAAATCAGCCCTTGTTGCATACAGAATTTTCATTGTTCAACAGAACATGATCGCACGTTTGTCGGCGTTTCACGGATAGCTAATTGAGACGGTCATTCTGGTTACGGAGAGCTGCCCTAAGCTGTCGCATGACAGTCAGCGTGTAGATAAGGACGAAGAAAACGCAGAACAACCGTGGAAGAATCTGGCAACCCTTGGGCTACCTTGGCTTCAGGGACGGTGTCTTCAGCCACAACACTGGACGTTTCATACTTCCTGGTACATCAGGTGTCATCTGATGAAAGTAAAACCGTCATGTTTTGTGGTAGACTGGTCGTCGCGCATCATTATATCCTTACGAGCAAGGGACCACCAATGTTCGTTGCCATAACATGCAAACTCAAAACGAACCGATCAAATCACACCTTGACCACAAGTTCGACCTCGAGTGGTCTCCTGCCAGTGCAGGACCTTTCTATGACACCTGTATGAATATGAAAGATTCTTTCAACGAGTGCGGATTCGTCAGAACATTCAATTTTCCCAGCAGTTGGCAGCACTCACTGGCTCGACCGATGGAGCGGGGCGCTCTGGCAGGACAAGACGGGAGTGGCAGGTGTCCTAGCTCGTAGTCGGTAGTCCTCGCATGTGTCGTAGTCTGTCCTCGATAGACAGAGCCGTAGCCTCCCGCTATAGAGGTTTGGCCTTGGTTCTCCTTACAGTCCTACCCGTTACACCGAACCGCTCACCTCGTTGCAAATAAGGGTGCCAAGCTATACTATAGGGAGGTAGGCAAATGCATGAAGGTCATTCAGAGTGAGATCCAAGTTCAAAGAAGCACAACTTGCAAGCACGTGCTCCTTGCACCAGACTCATCTAGAACCTCGGCGAGTCGGGGAAGAATCATATTATGACCATCTGTCCAAATCCATCCAGTCCACCAAGGCCTGGTCAGAAGGCGTCAAACAATTGTCTGCGCATGGTGCCAAGTTTTTATGAACTATTGCAATACTTACCCTGGCACGTTGGAGGGCTCGAGTCTAGCGGTAAGTGCACAACATTAATAAAACACAGTATGACATAGGTTACATTGTTATGATCGGCCATGAATCTAGTTGTATAGTGCAAGCGAGCACTGTCTGCAATCGTGCCAGCACTGACACTACCCACGCGCAAAATCATTCAAGAAACAATCAGGTGCTACCACTTCTCGATTTACCATGATTCGTCCACCAAATGTCCATGGAGCTTTTCCCGATGTTTGGAAATTTCTGCCGCATCGATCTTATAAAATTGTACCACCTCTTCAATCTTGTTCAAGGTATCGCCATCCCGGCGTTCCAAGACTTTCAATTGCCGAATATGATCCTGAATTCGAATAACAACTTCTCCGCACATTGGAGAGGTGAGGTAGACTTCAACTGCGAGTTTGATGGCCCTACGAGTGACTTCTTGGCTTTCTGACACGATAAAAAGTGTCCGCGACACAAGCGCTAGGTGGGCGATGTAGGCCATGAAGCGCTGAAGCACCACGTCACTGACAAAGAAGTGTCAATATCCTTCCGCACATGAAAAAATAGTGGTGCGCACGATGTTTGGTATATATCATAAACCCATGCACCAAATACGACACATGCTGCGATTGGTACCACGACAGGAGCCGCAGGTCCCGCCAGGACGCTTGCGACAGTGCCAACCATGGAGAATCCAGTAGTTCTGTAAACATTCAGTGAGATAAAAAATCATCTGTGACGTAGAAAACCAGCCTACACGGTTTTGTCGGGATCAGCTATCGGTCCAACTTGTGTCCCGTCGACCATGTCTATTATCAATTTCCTGAACTCTTGACTGCGCAAGTACTACGTATAAATCACGTTAGGGAGGACGCGACGACGACAAATAAGATACCCATCACCTTGTGAGGGTCACGGAAGTTCCATACTTCGACTATGTCAGTGTGAAGCACATCCAGACAATCCCACATCTGGCAGTTCTTGAATGATGGGCCTGATCGAAGCGCCTTCCAATATCCTGCCAGACATAAAAATTTAGATCGTACCCACTAATCATCAACGCCAAACTGAAACAAACTTTCTTTGCCAACCCTGACGCTGCGTAAATCGCCAGATAAGAATAAAGTAAGCAAGACTCACTTAATCAACGCCTGTATTTTGAGTCCAGAATCCACCCGCTGAGCAATGGAGGTCATCACCCCAGCCTCAGGCGTAGAATGCTTGCTGACGCGCTTTTCAGTTAGTTGGATTAGGCCGGCGAGCGTCTCCTTGTAGTCAGCTTTAGCTGCAATATTAGGCTTCAGAGGCACGTATGAGCCTGTCGGGGTATTGGTACACACTGGATATCGTAGCATGGGGAATATCAGACCCTGCAAATCGCTCTAGAGGTATAATGCAATTATCGCGAATCTCGACATCTGCTTTGTCCTTGACAAGTTCCTTGATGGCTTCGTCGCTCAATCCATCGGTAGAGTCATCTAGATTTAGCTCTATGTCATCAACGAGCATATCGTATTTAGTAAGAACCACGATAACGGGAACTTCGACAAAGGGTGAGATCCAATGTAGCAAAGGTATATTCATTGATTCACTTACTGTCTCCCAGTCTTCCATCACGTTTACATGTCAAGAATTCCTCGGCCCCCGTCTCTAGGAAACGTCCGCCTGCAAAAGGTGTCTGAAAACAAAGCCTTGCGTGTATTTTGTCAGTCCACCATAACGGAATGGTCGAGATAGAATCCCCACCAAATAGCGTGCAGCTGATCTTTATCAGGCATTGCTTTCCGACGGCGAATAAAATCTAGGACAAGTTCGAGGTTGTCTTCTTCCCCTGGTTCGAAACCTTTGCTGTCGTGGAGAACGAGCCTGTCGTTGTGCGGTGAGGTAAACTGTGTGTCAATGTTGGCCTTGCCTCGCTGATCGTGCGCAACGGTCTATTGACAATATGAGTACCTGTGCTCGTTGAAGCGTTACATTCAACCCACCGTGTTTGTGCCTACTCCAAAAACGTGGTCAATCAGTGATGACTTTCCAACGCCAACCTATTAAAGTCACGTCGTCAGCACTGGCCTGAGATCAGATAAACCAGATACCTTTCCTATCACCAGAATCCGGAATCTTGGGAGCGTCAACCTCAAGAATGGCACATTATGATCATCCTAACTCACCGAGGACAGCGCTCAAACATTCCGGAAGTGGTAGGGAGGGGGAGGAGCTTCATCTACGAGTTAGACAGTTTCGGTGCCAAACGTGGATCCTTACTTCAGTTGAAGTATTTTCGGAAAGGTCGACGATGATTCTAATTTTTCCGTGCCACTTTACGTATGCTACAGATGTGAGGTTGTGTGAGTGAGTGATTTAGGCGAGAGTGCAATTATTGTTTCACCTTGTCCTTCGCTTGCGCTATACGCACGGAATATGTCATCTAGGTCGATACGAATGTCTTCAGGCTTGAGTTCGGTTTTAAAATGTTCCTTGTACCATATGCGTAAGAGAAACGCATCCGGATAAGAAAGCATTCTGAGGGAAAAAGACACAGAAGCAACTCAAGTGAGTTGAACATGTGTTAGGGTCGAGTACTTGAAAGTTACATGGTCTCAGAAAATGTCTCTCGCCAACTCCTTCCTGCTCGGCGTCTAATTGGTGAACGGAAATCATTGCCAATGCATACTTCAGCAAATTCTATATCCGTTCTCGACTCGCTGAAATCGATGTTGATACCTGTTGGATATATTCAGCGGGGCTACATGATGACAAGAATTGAGTGACCAAAAATGCGGCACGAAAGGGAAGTTGTAGCATTAGCCATGCTGATGTGATCTAAGGAAGAGTTCGGCTCTGAGCACCTCGTTGATTATAAGATAGAAAACACGGTATAACCTTGCGATAAGCGATAAGAGAATACCGCAAGTTACGAGCTGTCCTGGGGCCTTCGGTTCCCAATGCCCATGTGGAGCATAACATAATGACGAGACCTCGAAAACTTAAACCTGGTCGCACCAGCAACTTGTTTCTGCTGCTCAATAACGCCAACGATCATTCGTCTACACGAAAGGCGTCACCTAAACTCAACGTTCTTCATTTCCCATCTCTTTGCGGCAATCCTTCTTAAGTGGTTAGAGTGACAAATTTCTTTGTATTGCTAAATCACATTCTGCTTTGAATAAACTTTCCGTCATTTTCCTGGTGCGACTGGGCAAAAGCAGGAAGTGGCAGGAGGGCCTCGGCTTTGGCGTGGGGGTCGAAAGCAGCGCGACGTTTCAAGGCTTCATGAAAATGGGTTGGGTTAGTTCAACTTAGTTGTGGTAGCCTGGTGCCAGGGTAGCGGGAGACTGCAGGCTGGGCGTGGTGGGCAGTAATAGACGCGCGATGGGTGCCACTACTTGACCTTATGGTGCTAGAGGTCTTGACCTCTGTTGTAAGTGAGGTAACGCCCGTTCGCTGTTTTCAGGAGCTTGAGGGAGCCAAAGTACTTCGGAAGGGTACGATTTTGGCCTAGTGAGTGTACGAGATGTGACTAATTTCAAATAGGGATGCCTCATGGTACACAGCAAGCCCATTGCCCATTGCCCCACTGATTCTACTATTCTAGATAGGCTTCGGGTTGCGCATTTGCCGGGTTCACACACTGCAATGATTATAAGGCTTCACAAACGCTTCTCCAATCAGTCACATTTACCTTCCCCAATGGATCCTTCAAAGATAAGAGAGAAAATCGGTCGCTTTCGAATCCTCGTCATAGGAAGAGCGAACGCAGGAAAAACAACCATCCTGCAGAGAATTTGCAACACACAAGACAAACCAAAAATATACGACAGCGCTGGGGAAGAGTGTGGAGGAACGATACACGCGGGAGGTTTTACGACACGCTAGAACAAAGGTACGAGTCTCAGTATTCGTTTCGAATCTCTATTAACAATTGTTTGTACCTAGAACAAAGGTACGACTAGATGTACGTCAGCGCTTGCGCTCGAACGTTACAGTGGGACTTGTACTTACGTCTCAGTATTCGTTTCGAATCTGAGACGTTTCGACGAAAACAGCGTCCTCTTATACGGTGAGTCTGCCAGCAATAGCTTTGATGAAAAATATATACTTAAAGAACGAAAAGATTGCCGACGTTGACACGTCGTCGACGTTCTCCGTTTGGAGACGCTCGCACTCGATGTGCTCTATTCTTCGGCCGTATCGTCCTTTCCTTTCTCAGCTCTCTCTCTCTCGGCCTTACTTCCCTCGGACACATCGGCTCTCAACACTCCCCCTCGAGCGTTATCCAAACACATCAATGTCCTCAACCTCTGGAGTCGGGGACGTGCCAATGGCTTCGTGAACGCGTCCGCGACATTGTCGTCACTGGGGCAGTAGATTATCTTGAAGGTACCGTCCTTCACGTGGCCGCGTACGAAGTGGTATCGCAGGTCTATGTGCTTGGTGCGCGATTGGAATTTTCCCGTCGAGACTAACGCTATAGCAGCTTGGTTGTCGCAGAAGATGGGTGTGGGGAGGTCTTGGACGTCGTAGAGCTCGCGGATGAGGAGTTGCAGGTAAAGTACTTCCCTTGCCACGCTGGTCAACGCTATGTACTCAGCTTCAGCTGTTGACAGGGCTATGATAGGCTGTTTGCGCGCGCTCCACGAAACGGGGCCTCCATGGAGCAGTACGATGTACCCGCTCATGGAGTGCCTATGTGGCTGCGATGCCCAATCGGCATCGACAAACGCCTCAATTCCTCCCTCGCTGGATCCCAACGTCAGCTCATAGTCTGCGGTGCCTTTCAGGTACCGCAGGGCGCGTTTGGTGGCCTCCCAATGGGGTCTCCCCGGATTCCTCATAAATTGCGACAGTGTTGCCACCGCAAAAGCGATATCTGGCCGGGTACTCGTAGCTGCGTACATTAACGAACCGATCGCGCGTTGATATGGTATGTCTCGCATAGCTTGGAGTTCGGCGTGTGTTGCAGGGGACTGATCTATGGAAAGGACAGTACCTGGTTCCATGGGCGTGTGCAGGACCTTCGCGTCCTCCAGGTGGAACCTTTCGAGGATCGTCTCGACGTATGCCTTCTGTGAAAGTGTCAAGGTGCGTGCTACGCGGTCCCTCGTCACCTTCAGCCCCAATAACCAGCTCAACTCCCCTAGGTCGCTAATCTCGAAGTGCGCGCGCAGCTCGGACTTAAACCGATGGATATGGGATATATGGTTGGCGGTGACGGCCATGTCGTCGACAGAGACGGTGATGACGACGTGTTCGCGCGAGGTGCGTTTGTAGAAAACGGCTTGATCTACTTTTGACCTGCTGAAGCCCATTTCATTGAAGGCTCCAGCTAGCTCCTGCGCCCACTCATATCCTGCTTGTTTGAGTCCAGGTAAGCTTCTTTTCAGCTTCAGTACCTTCCCTTCCTGACCATCCTTCAAGTATCCAGGGGGCGCTCGCATATATATGTCCTCCTGCAGACTCGCATATAGGTACGCACTTTTAATATCGACTTGGTGTATTTCCCAGTCGTGCTGAGCAGCCATCGTTAGGACTGCACGTATTGTGCTCATATTGGCCGTGGGGGCGAAGGTTTCGAAGAAATCGACCCCGTACTTCTGGCGCTGCCCATTTGCAACTAGGCGCGCGCGAAGCTTCAGCTTCTCGCCGTCCGGCCCGCGCTTTGTGGCCAGGACGTAATGGCATGGGATAAGGTTTACGCCTCGAGGTGCATCTACGATTTCCCACGTACCTAGCTTCTCGAGTTGACTGACTTCGTAATTGATGGCTTCTTGCCACTCTGCAGCGTCTGGGCCCTTCAAGGCTTGTTGGAGGGTCGGTTCTGGTTGGACGGCGGCCAATGCTAGGTGAATATGCGCCTCTTCATCCAAGAGGTCGAGTTCTGACGCTTCCAACAGGCTTTCCATGGTTAGGGCTGCCGTTTGGCCCTCATTCAGCGCCGCATAGTACCCTGGGGGTGGTCTTACCCTCGTCGACCTCGCTTCAGGAGTAGATGGTTGAGGTTGCTGGGCAGTAGACGGTTGAGGTTGCTGAGGAGTAGATGGTTGAGGTTGCTGTGGCATGGTGATGGGCTGGACGCTACTAGGTGAGTTATTATTACCCTTGCCGCTGTTATGTTCGTTGACTACAGCAGACTCCCCCTCGTCCGGCATACCATCGGCTGCCAGGATCGGCGTGAAGGTCACATTCCTCTCCACCGAGACACGCCGTCTGCCGGGCCAATACACCCGGTATCCTTTACTTTCAGCGTCTACCCCCACAAAAACTGCCTCCTCCGCCCTCGCCTCCAGCTTACCAGCCTCCAGCATATGGACGAAGACCCTGGCCCCAAATTCATGGGCCTGCGACAAGTCCGGCTTGGACTTGCGCACCAACTCGTAGGGCGTGCTACCTGGGATCGCCCTTGAAGGTAGGCGATTCTTGAGCCAAGTGGCGTAACTAACGGCCTCGGCCCACAGGTACTTTGGCATATCTCTGCCTAGGAGCATTGCTCTCGCATGCTCGACGAGTGTCCGGTTGAGTCGTTCGGCGACACCATTCTGTTGGGGTGAGTCGTGCACTGTTAGCTGCCGCTCTATACCTTGCTGACGCAAGTATTGATCGAACTCGGCGCTCAGATACTCTCCTCCTCTGTCCGAACGGATTTTGCGCACGCGCACACCTGGTGATTGACGGGCCACCCATGCCTCATAGGACTTGAACGCGGTAAGTGCGTCACTCTTTTGTTTGAGGAACTCGAGTCGCGTCTGCCGGCTAAAGTCGTCCGTGAAACTGACATAATATTTACAGCCTCCCAAACTCGTCGTCTGCGCCGGTCCCCAGAGGTCCGTATGGACTAGTTCTCCGTATGTAAGTGCGCGCATCTTCGTTTCTCTTGGGAAGGACTGCTGAGCTGACTTAGCTTTCACGCAGACTTCACAGAACTGGATGGCGGGCGCCGGATCTATGTCTATGCCCAGGATTAGGCCCTTCTTGACTGCGTCAAGAAGGGCCGCATGTGATACGTGCCCTAGGGCACGATGGACATCATTGATGGTAAGCTTTGTCCTGGCGACGTTGGCACGATGCTTACGGTCGGACGTTACAGCGTAAAGTCCCTGGACTTGGGGTATTTCTGCGATCGTCCTTCGTTCGGGGGGAGCAGACAGTATCCTGCACATTCCTCCTTCGAACAGCACGGCCAAACCGGCGGAGGCGATCTTATTGGTGGAGATAAGGGTAAATGCCATGGAGGGGGCATATAGGACGTCTTTTAGCGTCACGGTCGTTCGTTTCGAGCCCAACGGTAAGTCCATCCTCACGTCTCCTCGTCCTGTCGCATTGACAGTAGCTCCATTCGCAGTGTATATCTTCTGCGGGGCGATCTCAACGAAGGATACAAATTTTGCCCTATCCGGGCAGAAATGAGAGGTCGCGCCGGAGTCTACTATTGCTCCTCGGCGCTCTGGAGGTACGTCCATCGATTTTGCTATGACTGCGAGGTCTGACGTAGCGAAAGCGTAGTTGTCCTTTGGCTCCGGCTCTTTGGCTACATTGGCACTTTGTTTTTGGGTGCGTCCTCCTTGTCTCTGCCGTTGATTCGGCCCCTGACCTTCTTTTCCTCCACCTTTTCGCCAACAGTCACTCTTCCAGTGGCCCTTACGATCGCAGTTCGTACAGACTGCGTCGGGGTTGGATTTTGGAGCCGAGCTCTGCGAGCTCGTGCTCCTCCCTGCATTTGTTCTCGCGGAGAGCGCACTGTTGGTCCCGCGTTTGTTGGGACGTCGTTCGGTGAGTAACCGGTGCTCGTATTCCTCTGTGATGATGGTGATGAGTTCGTAGGGCGAGAGGGGAGTTTTCGTTATCTTGGCCGCTGCGTTCATCGACGACAGTAGCGGCCGGTAGGATTCAGGTAAGGACCCTAGGATGATGGCATGAAAGTCCGTATCAATGACGGCTACCCCCATTCCAGCTAACGACTCCCTCAGGCGCAAAAGCTCTGAAAAATGAGCCTTGACGTCACCACCTTCTTCGCACCTCGTCTCCTGGAGCCTCCGTCTCAGATCTATCTGGACGAGTTCGGTTTTGCCTTCATGTATGTGGCATATTTCTTTCCAGATTTCGGACGCGGATGCTAACTTTTGGACACGTAACAGCAGCCGATCTGTGATCGTGCAAAATATTTGCTGTTTTACGAGTGAGTTCTTTTGTTGATACTCATCGGTCTTTGCGTCGAGCTCATCGATTTCTTTCTGCGTAGGTGTTGTACCATCCGGCTTCGTAACGGCCCCCGTAGAGCTCTTTACGAAAGGCGTAGGCTCTTTAGCTCGTCCATCGGTATATCTCGTAAGTCCTCGTGCACCTATAGCCGTTAACGTCCTTTCCTTGTAGGTTATCCAGTTCGAGCCATCTTCGGCGAGCTTCGGGATGTTAAAAAGGTTTGAATTGGTGCTGGGAGTCGACAAGTCCATGGAGGAGACAGGGCTCATAACCTGTGGAGGAACGATACACGCGGGAGGTTTTACGACACGCTAGAACAAAGGTACGAGTCTCAGTATTCGTTTCGAATCTCTATTAACAATTGTTTGTACCTAGAACAAAGGTACGACTAGATGTACGTCAGCGCTTGCGCTCGAACGTTACAGTGGGACTTGTACTTACGTCTCAGTATTCGTTTCGAATCTGAGACGTTTCGACGAAAACAGCGTCCTCTTATACGGTGAGTCTGCCAGCAATAGCTTTGATGAAAAATATATACTTAAAGAACGAAAAGATTGCCGACGTTGACACGTCGTCGACGTTCTCCGTTTGGAGACGCTCGCACTCGATGTGCTCTATTCTTCGGCCGTATCGTCCTTTCCTTTCTCAGCTCTCTCTCTCTCGGCCTTACTTCCCTCGGACACATCGGCTCTCAACAAAGAGGTAGGCCCATCACATTGTTAGTGGGAGGATGGTAGTGACCCATCGACATCAGATCGATCTCACAGTTTTAACGGCATCCAAAGAGGTATTAAGGTGTACTCTTACTTGACGACATGAACTGACGTGTTCTCAGCGTGGAGAGCACGAAATCGAAATCGAAATGGTGTTTGAAAGTAACCCGGGCTTCGTGTTTCACGATTCACGCGGTTTCGAGGCAGGCGGCAAAGACGAATTCGACAAGGTCAAGGCTTTCATCACTGACCGTTCGACACAAGCCAAAATCGCAAAACGACTCCATGTTATCTGGTAATTGCAACCTATCAATCAAGACATGCGCTTTCTCACGGTTTCAACATAGGTTTTGTATCCCAATGGACGAGGCTTGCAGGTCGTTCACTGCAGGCGAAGAAAAGTTTTTCACTGAGTGCGACACAGCAAGCAGTAAGCTTTTGCATCCTACCCTCATCGATGTTCGACTAATGCGCAGAATCACAATCCTCAGTACCAGTGATCGTATTGTTTACAAAGTTTGATGCGCTATATGGCGTCGAATTTCGAAAGCTGATGAATACAGGAACTTCGCGGAAAGACGCTAAACTACAGGCCCCGAAATGCGCCGAGGAAACATTCACAGATGGTCCACAATTACAGTTTCTCAAGAATGTCCGGTGGCCTCCAAAATGCCACGTATGCCTTCCAAGTAAGCCGGTTTATGGCCTAGTTGCGATACACGATGATCATTGTTCCATCAGATATGAACAAAGATGATGCAGATTGCGGCGCACTGATCGAACAGACGGCTGCAGCTTTGGATGACGAAGCACTCCAGCAATTATTCGTCTCCACCCAGCAGACCAATCTAGAGATCTGCATGAAATATGCGATTCAGAGGTAACTATCCATGATTTCATTTACATGTCACAAGTGATAGCGACTGATATTGTCCAGAATACTCCCAAAACATCTCAAGTCCACAGGAACAACAACATCCGAGAGTCATCAGAAGATGATAATGATGTTAAGCTGCTGGTTTCCGCATCTTTGGGTAAGATTATTGGAAAATTCAAAAGTTGCTCTAATTTACACTGGGCGTTGACTTGCAGCCAGTACGTCTGTCAATCCTTATTCAAAAGCCGTGCTGATCCAAGTCGTTGCCCGCCGTTCGCAGGAAGTGAGTGTGTCGATCCTCGTTCGAGCAACAGCCGTGCTGATCCAAGTCGTTGCCCGCCGTTCGCAGGAAGTGAGTGTGTCGATCCTCGTTCGAGCAACAGCCGTGCTGATCCAAGTCGTTGCCCGCCGTTCGCAGTCTGTGAGTGTGTCGATCCTCGTTCGAGCAACAGCCGTGCTGATCCAAGTCGTTGCCCGCCGTTCGCAGTCTGTGAGTGTGTCGATCCTCGTTCGAGCAACAGCCGTGCTGATCCAAGTCGTTGCCCGCCGTTCGCAGTCTGTGAGTGTGTCGATCCTCGTTCGAGCAACAGCCGTGCTGATCCAAGTCGTTGCCCGCCGTTCGCAGGAAGTGAGTGTGTCGATCCTCGTTCGAGCAACAGCCGTGCTGATCCAAGTCGTTGCCCGCCGTTCGCAGGAAGTGAGTGTGTCGATCCTCGTTCGAGCAACAGCCGTGCTGATCCAAGTCGTTGCCCGCCGTTCGCAGTCTGTGAGTGTGTCGATCCTTGTTCGAGCAACAGCCGTGCTGATCCAAGTCGTTGCCCGCCGTTCGCAGAGAGTGAGTGTGTCGATCCTTGTTCGAGCAGCAGCCGCGCTGATACATCAATAGGAAACACTTAACGACCATGACTGTGTAGAGATACAGTCCAAGTTACTCCCTGTGGTATGTCCAGTTGCTCACAGATTGCACATATTTTCATGTGGCGAATTTGCCAGGCCCCTGGCTTATCACCCCTGGACAACTTTGTTCAGCTCATTTCAGGTGAACTTCGAGGTTACGCCAGGGTTAACCTGCTTATGATTGACCACTTAGCTGTTGTCATTATTTTCGAACGATCTTTCTACATATCCGACGAGCGGCGCAATCTTCAGGACAAGCGGCAGTCTGGTCCCTCTTTTCATGTCGCTCTGGAGCAGTACATACTATCTCTGCATGCAGCTGCTGTCAGGAAATGTGCGAGCGATGCTGTCCAGGCTTATAAAAAAGCTGTGGCTACTGCTCTGAAGGAGAATGCAGAAGTGGAGTTGATCGAGGACGTTCTTAAAATTGCTTTAGATCATCGCCTGCGTATGTTTCACCGTCATGTTGTGGCAGTGATCCCGCTGATCTGCTCGTCTTCAGCAAGACCTTGACGCTAGGCAATGCAACGCGATGTAGATGGTGCTCCGAAGTGGAGCTCAGTGACGTGTCTAGCAGTCGATGTACGTTTCTTGAGTGGTCCATTGAGGTAGTTTCAGGAGGTGGAACTGTATGAAATGCTTGTATGATCAGACAATATGATGCTTTTTACGGCATGGTGTGCGTGTTTGAAGCATGTGGGTCACCCTCAGCTGAGATGGTGGTGAGATTTACTGGGTTTGATGTATCTCCAGAGTCTTTTTGGTCCGATCCAAATACATCGGGTTCGGGTACGTTCTATGTACCATTCTGCTCCACAGCCTATCTCGACTTGCGCCAATATTTCTAAACGCAATACTGTTTTGTCCATCCTTGGAAGAAGTACCAAAGGCCTTTCAGAGCAGGTTTCGTTGTAGGTAGTAACCTGCCTGAAAGCTCGCCTCCACAGGCCCCAGGGAGGCTTCCCCTTACATCCTATTCAGAACTGAGCTACCCACTAACAAGATCGGGCGTGCAACTCATATTGAATTTAGTAGCTTGTTATAGTATACTCAAGAACAAATTTAATCTATCCAAGCCGTGCCGTATCATGAAGTCCATATCATCTTGAGAAACCCAACAAGTATACAGGCCTCTACTATGGAAATAGAAGCGAATAACTACACCATATGGCCATGACTCAGTACTCAGTACCCAACCCATGTCACTGCAATATACTGGTTTGTCGACATTCTACACCGAACTAGCTGAAATCCCCCTTCCTGTGTCCACTGATTTCATTGGTGATAGTTGAGTTGCGATGAAGGTGTCGACGAGACCATTACTCTGTGCGAATGCAGTTACATGTGTCTGCAGGAGGCCTATAAATTTGTCTCGTTACCGAGTGTAGCTCGACCCTCTTGCTGTAGAGAATTTTAGGCTGGCATCGTGGCATCCCACTCAAGGCTTTCCATATCGCATGGAAATCACTTTGAACTGGGTTGCTGAAGCTGAGAGTCATCAACACGACTCTGCCCTTGAGTATGCTCGGAACTTTTCGACGACCATGTGGTGACGCGATCGTCAATCATTTCACGGCGCGAGGCTGCGACTGTTTTTGGTGGTGCATGCTCACCGCCAGTAGATGTAGCGTCATGTGCCACATGTCATGGAAATCTACGACAGGCAGTCGAGTTCATAGAACAGGGCAGTGGTCGCTAGCCTCTCGGCTCAAGACTCTAGTCGAAGACTTCGAGTCAGCCAATCCAAAACTGGCGGACAATTATTTGGGTGAGTTTCTAATGCCGCCTAGAGTTCTGCAACCGTCACCGACAGAGCTGCTGCTGATCGGGCAGCAACAGAGCACAGCGTATAGGAGACTTACACGGCAATGTCCATACAAACATGCGCACCCGTCGAAGTCGATTGTTTCGTCCATCCTGGATGGCTGCTTTGACTTGTAGTCCATCCGTGCACCCCCATGAGACAGTCGCAAAAGACAGATACATATTCACAGCTACGCTGAAGAAATTCAATGACATCAACGAAATCGCATCTGTCACTAAAGCGTAAGGCTATAGTCATATTCGGTCTGCGCACTCTGCGCAATCCAAAGCACAACCGCCGACAGCATCATCGCCACGTTCTGCGACACGTTCGCATAGCCGTAGTAAGTATACTGCTCGGGGTAGTCCATCATGATGTATTTCAGCACGAGAAGGGACTAAAAGAGGTATTGAACATCGAGTAGCGTCAAAGAAAAAACATCGAGGCTTACCACGCTCCCCGCCAGTCCGCCAGCCATGAATGCAAATCCGATAAACAGGAAAAGACGTGCCCTCCACACAGCATTAGAATCTCCATAATCGTCCCCTCTAATCCTATCCTTGTCGATCAAGTTGATGATGACCATGCCAAGGAGCGAGCAGATACCCGGCACCCAATCAGCGAACTGCACATGCACGGGAGGCGGGATTTGGGGTTCATCATAAGGCGGGTGAGCATGCGCAGACAGGATGGCAGCATCGAGGAAAGTCCAGTTTGCAAGCGCGAACTGCGGAAAGGACATGCAGTTAGCGTCAGCAAGGAAGATACAAGAAGCGCACGGACCAAAGCGCCCGCGAGGTAAATACCAATAGTCCGGCGATGCTTTCCCAAGTTCAAGTTGAGGTCTGGAAATGGGTTTAGACACACTCTGCGGGGGTCATAGTCTGAGCGAGGGAGAGACATCATGGGGTGATGGGGACAAGTTTGCTGTTGCGCTGCGTGCTGGTCACAGGCGGTCATCGGATGCGTGGGAAATCACTTGTAAGACACACATATTCGATCAGTGTTGGAACAATCGACGCTCCTCAACCAAGTGGACAGTGAATGGAGTATGCCATGTAGATCTTAGTGTTTGGTATTTCACCGACCCTTTGTATATTTTAGGGTTAGGGTCAAAACGGTTCTGACTCGGAGGAAACCGTCTCCGTGGACACCTCATGTAAGTATGCACTACCTTGACCTCTCCGCAAAAGCTCCAGAGTGAAACGTTCATGAGATTCACTCGTCTACTCTTCCTTCCTACCACAGTAACGACATCGCATTCTAAAAGCTTTCATTCACCACACGTCAACGGTACTGGTCTCCAAAGACTGCATGAAATCTGCTGCGCAACTCGGTAGGTACAACCGCAATAATCTTTAAAGTTACAACAACGGGGTATCTTCGTGAAGTGCGAGGCAGTGCGAATGAGGGTACGTAAATCGTCAAAAGTGGGGCATACTGAGTGAGGGGGATGTGGTAGCGCACGAAGGGTATTGTGCGTGGAACGATGTGAGTATGCACATAAAACCTATGTATAATTACAGCTAATTCAACAACATTGTATCCACAAAAACCAAGATCTAGCACGGAGGAAAAGGTGAGCGCGGTGGATGTGGATGTGATGAAGGGATGATTTTACAGGTGTCCTATGAAATAAAAGTCCAAGACCGATGACGCCCGCATACATCGGTTAAGAGATCAGAATCCGGCAGGTGCCACAAGCATATTTTCAAAGTTGAACAACTGCTCAAACGTATCGTGCCCTTGCGCCTCGAGTGAATATTGGTGCACCTCCATCGACGATCCGTCGAAGGAGCCAGGCAAAAAGTCAATGTTGAATGTCGACGGGTGCTGGCTCATGGACGCCAACTCTCCTCCGCATCCTGGCATACCGAGCTGAATTGGAGGGATAGCACTCAAGTCAAACTCGTCTCCAGCAAGAAGGTCACTGTGACTTTCCCATGCGCCCTGTCCTTCCCAAGAATACTCGGGATACCCGAAGTGCACGTTATCCAGAGGGGATCCAGACATGGGCGAGTCTAGTTCTCCATCATTCATGCAGGACGCTAGATCCTCATGGTACGAGAATGCGGAAGGCATGCAGTTTATGGGCGTATATGGGCCGGAATGCGGGCCGGATGAAGCGGACGCTATTGACGATACTGGAGAAACCATTTGTTGACTGGCTTGCAGCATGGACATGTCGGTGGAAATCGACAGAGGATGAGGCGCAGAGGGGTTCTCGAACATCCCATGGTAGAATCCATTGGCCTTGGGAGCGGTTGTCAGCCCGAACTCGAACTCGGACGTTAATCGGGTACTCACATCAACGCCCGACATATAGGCGTTAGGGTGCGAAAATTGCTGTTGGGGCAAGAAATCAAACTGCGACGCTGATGAGTTCATTCCATGGTCTGGATGCGACGCGCGGCGGCTGATCATTGGCAACAGTGACGGCGATGTCGGACACGAAGGCATGTAGACCGTCGGGACTTGGATTGTCTGCCGAGCAGGTGGGGGAGTAGGAGCGGACGCAGAACGGCCATGCTTCATCACCGTCGGGGGTGACAATGGAAGCACAAACGAGATGCTGCTCTCACAATCCGTCTCGTGTTCAAACTCGCCTCGCTTGCTCTTCTTCCCCTTCTTATCCTTCGACCGCTGGGGGCGATATACGTAATTTGGGTACATCTGCTCGTGCTCCTTCTTTTCCTTCGCCTGCTCCTCCCAGTAGAGACGCTCCTCTGCAGAAAGCGCTTTCCACTGCTGGCTGATTGTTTTTGACAGATCTACTTGTCGCCGCTTCTTAGTTGGGACATCAGCGTATGCTGCTGATACTGCCTCTTCTTGAGCTTGTTGTCGCTCTTCACAGCACTTCCTGCGGAAGAGGATGAAAGTATTTTCAGGGCGCTTGATATAGTCCTTGTCGCCCTTTCTTGGTCTACGCTCGATGTCGCTGCATATCGACGACTTGCGGCGTTTGTGCGATGATGGGGAACTGGGGCCAGAAGATAAGGTGGTGAATGATGATGTCGAGGAGAAGACCAAAGTCGATCCTTGTGAAGTGGACGATGAGGGGGGAAGGGGGGAAAGAGTGCGAACGAGAGTGGGTTGTGAAGGGGTGAGCGCGAGCTGCCGGAGATCTGGCTCAAATGGAGAATTAGCAGGCGACAGGCTTCGCTTTTATCAATAGGGAAAGTGAAGGCACGGGGCGTCAGAGAAATAATAGCCAGGGTAGGCGGTTGGCATCTGTAATCACCTCAAGTGCTGATAGAGGTGAGTGGTTAGGATGAGCTAAGAAGGGTTATCGTCTCGAGGTGAATTTAAAATATGCTCTCACGGTATTTGCAAATCAAAGCTTCCAGGTATAATAGTTTTATATTTGAAGCGCGCGCCTCGATCAACCTACTGGCATCTTTTTTACAACCGTGGGTCGCACAAGTCATATTCCGCCAACATGTAGCTCACTCTCGCACACGCCAGCTTACACACCCAGTACCACCTGAGCGAGCACAACCGTGGCCACCGAGGTGCACGTGCATCGATGTTTGCCATCATTCAAACCATTAAGTTCACTAACCGCTGCTGCATACCATGTGTGCCACTATTACTGAACGCACCAGACACCTGTCGTGACCTTCGCGCACGGTATGTCGGAACTTTTTTTACGGCATTTTAATCCATTAAAATGGCCTAACGACACGGACCTATTATAATACATTATGATCAAACAGTCAGCATTTTGACCCATTTAAGTGCACATCGACATGATGACATAATAGGCATTTTAATGTACCCACCAAGTATCAATGCCCATTTTAATGGTACCCACTGAGTATTAATGCCCATTTTAATGGTACCCACTGAGTTTTAATATGCATATCAACCGAGTCTTAATGCCATCCTAACGAGGTGGTGATGAGCATGCATTGCATATCAATTGTTATTGCGAGATGTCAATACAAATACTAATCTACATTATGATATCGGTAAAAATGACCCTCTCCCCCATCCTTCTTGCTCTGTTTGCTGCTGACCGTCAGTTGTGTTGGGACAATGATAGTTGTGATGAAGGAATATTGAATGATAATGCACGTCACCGGACTTACGAAGTTTCATACTCATCACCGTCCAAGCCTGCTGCCACTAGCTACTCCCTTGTCTTGCATGAATGGCCGGTAACTTAGCTAAGAGACACCCGCTCGCCCGCTTCCCATCGCTCTGGGCATGATTCAGAGTCTAGAACCCGGAAATGTTATCAACAACATCGAACATGGCACATATTACACTACTTACCCATTTATTGTTGCCGAGAATGAGGTGTCCCAACCAGGTCGGCGCAGCAGCAGCAGGGAAGGTGGCGTGGCCAGCAACCGCCACTCCAGTGTTTCCCCATTGTGATCATCCGATTTGCGTGTGTGGCGCAGGAAGTGCATCGGGTTCGGATAGCTCAAGTTCCAATCGATTGTTTTCAGGATGTACCGCTCTGCGAGAAGGATATCGGATTCAGTGTAGGATGAGTCCACGCAGTGAAGGAAGTGCGAGATGGATGGTGCAACAATTTCTTCAACCTTTGGAAGCAATGGAGACACGACGTAATGCCCATGAGTTGAAGTTTAGCGAGGGAGACGACGCGTGCTGACAAGAACCTTTCGACAATGTTCACGCAGAGGAACACAGTCGCATGAAGTAATCAGAACCGTGCATGTACTTACACCAGCCAATTGAGAAGGATTCCACGCATCGACCAGGCCAGCTCTTTTTGCGATGCCATGTATTTCGGATGAGGAAGTGTTATAAGCTTAAGGCGTTTCATTAATTACAACGGAATGATAAAAATATACGGAGACTCGTACCTCGGTCTGCTTCATGTACTTGAAGATCTCGACAACATATTTGCTGACCATCAATGGATCATCGAAATCCTCAGCATCGAGATCGCCCCACTCGTCACCATCGAGGTCAGCTTCAGGTGCCACATCGACATCCAGAACAGCCGCCACTTCTGCCTCGTGTTGCGTTTGCTCGTCTATGTCAGTCTTGGGAGCATCAGAAGACATTACGATCGTCTTGAACTTCCTCCTGTGTCTCGGTCTTTATTAAGACGAGATGGAAAGAAGTTCGTTGAGCAGCCTGAACACGTTGTACCTCCTGGGTGATCACCTGTTGAGTGTTCGCCCCCGACCTGCGGGTCGAAACACATCGCGAGGGTTCAGGAGCCGGTGGGTGATCATTCCGTCCTTAGCAGATTCCAGCGGCCTTGTTCTTGTTGATGTTCTTAGTCGTAACTTCGAATAAAATGAGTCAGCATGTTTTATTGTAGGTTGAAAAATTAATAGACGGACATTTGGGTAGCGCCAGAAGAATGCAGGTCGATTCAGACCATAAATGTTGGCCAAGAAGGAGAAGGAGACAGAGCAACAGTGGAAAGTAAAGCAGACCGTGGAGGATGTTGAGAGTTACTGGTTCTAGTTACAGTGATACAAGGTAACAATATCGTAAATTTATCGACCATTGCTTCCCACGGCCGCATAACTTTATCTTTCCGGCTGTGAGTGTCAACCTTGTAGACAAGGTAATTAGGAACTAGCTGAAAGGTTATCAATATGGCGCATCTGAATTCGCAAACTGGGTATGTGGTAGTGTCTGGTGTGAAGATCAACACCAAACTTCGAGGTGTCGCGCTCATCAGCACTCTGTTCATGATTATGGGTATGTGGGGGCGTCCAGCGTGAAGATCAACGCCAAACTTCGAGGTGTCGCGCTCGTCAGCGCTCCGTTCATGATTATGGGTATGTGGGGGCGTCTGGCATGAAGATAAACGCCAAACTTCAAGGTGTTGTGCTCGTCAGCGCTCCGTTCATGATTATGGGTATGTGGGGGCGTCCAGCGTGAAGATCAACGCCAAACTTCGACGATTATGGGTATGTGGGGGCGTTTGGCTAGTATATGCATGCATTCCGAGTTGAAGGACACCTAAACATTCTCAGATTACAATGGAGCTAAAATCTCGTGTCTGTAGGAATTGTGTGATCAGATCTTGATAGTAAGACTAGGAACACAACTACAAGGTAGGGGACTCTAATTTCATGTTGTTGTGTGACGTGAGGAGCGGCGAATAGTTGTGATATCATTGGCCGACGACTTAGGTTTCTTCTTGCCCCTGGATGTCTTTGCCTGAGATTTGGCAACACCAATAAGCCCAGCGGCTGGTAATGCATCCTCACTCTGATCCTGGGGATTGGCCGAAGTCTCTGCATGCGGTGCCATGGGTGTCGGAATAGGTGGAGTTGAGATAGAAGGTTGTGGAATGACAGCAGGCCCTGGGGCTGCAACTTCAAGTCGAGGAGTGTCGACAGTGAACATAGTAGGTTGCAAGGTTGCGATGGTTGGCGCTGCGGCTACAGTGGCAAGGTGTACATCTTTATTAGCCTGCTCTTGCAAGTTGACATATTCCAATGACTCATTGTTCGAGTCTGAATCGCTGGCATCTAGCGCAGCCATAATGCGATCGAGTGATTCAGTGACGCGCTCCACAGTACACTGAGTGTCATCGGATGGCTGCATCTTTACAGTACTACCGAAGACATATCCATTGATTTCGTCGACAATAGATTTGATGCACTGGTGGGCCCACTTAACAACGAAGAATTTCTTGACTGTCTGAAAGACGGAGTGATATGCGATCGAGGAAATAGCACCAACTCCATCGCCCGAAAATTCCTGGTCCGGAGATAGGATGAATATGATCTACAGGGCGTGATGAGTATCAGCTCAGTATAAATTTAGAGTACTGAAACCTTACTGATGTGACGCCAAATGCAATCAGGCCAGGAGTGCAGCTTGTAAGCTTCCATATCTTGGCATAGGAAGGTGGTCCGCCACGCGCTTTGGAATACAATGACATCTTTCCACATATCGCAACCTTGATAACCTTCGAAACAACATATGAGTAGCTGGGTCTGTTATTGATGAGTAGACTACCTTTGCGATGACGATCCAATTTTTGAAAATTTTCTTCTCATTCACGATGTGGTCAGGGTAAAGTATCGGCGCCTTGAAGATATCATACATCTTTCCCTTGCCTGCTTCCCATCCAATCAAGTCTGTGACCTGCCGGAGGGAAGTACGGTCGTATTTGGAAACGAAATATTCATTAGGCATGTTGAAGATGCCACCTGCAACGGTATGCAGGCTGTTTAGGAATGAAGAGCGAGCTTGCTGCATTCCGCTCCCAAACTAAATGAAGTTTTGGTTAAATTTATAATGATAATATTAATGACTTGAGGTAGGAAAAACTACGCACCTGGTTGAAGAACAGATTTGTTCGCATCTGAGCATGCAACACGTGGTCAATGGATGCATAGAGTTCAGCAACAAGTGCATCCTTTTCTGTAGACCTCTTCGCATAACGATTTGGATTCGAGAGATCGACTAGAGGATCAGGACAGTCTGTTTGAAAAATGACCTTGTCGGGGAGGAACATCTCGGTAGTGAGTGCATACTTTTTGGCCAAGCTTAAAATAAGCTTGTCCGAGTCGATGTCACCCGTCTTCGATGAGTCAGAAGCTACGACGGAGGATGCAGAAGACACAGATGGCGCTACAGATACTTGTGATACAGATGGTACCCTGGATGATGGGCGTTTGCGAGAACGTTTCAGCTGTTGCACAGCAAGAATGTTGTTGCTCTCATTCAGAGACATATTCTGCTGCTGGAGCCGCCCTTGTTGAAGCTGGAGGTATTTAATATACTAATGTATCAAGGCATATGTTAGAATTTAGTATATATGATCTGAATGAAAGCAACAGCGTACCTCTTGGTAGTGCTCGATAGAAGCGTTAACACCCGGTGGAGCCACAGGCCGTTCTTCATCCACCAAGTCTGAGCCTGAATCAGAACTTGAGGATATTGGATTTGAGCCAGAGTCAGACATTTATTATGCAACGGGGAGGAATAGTATGCTCAACGAGCTGGAACCTGAGAGGGTGGGTCACAGGGTGTCGAGTCAAAGCCATCTCGCAGTTGATGCTATTTTATGCAATCTTGAAGTCGGGTGGTGTCGGAGTGAACTCAATGTAATCATACACGCAGTCCAGGTTTGCTGATCAGCTCATTGAGGGCATGAGGCTGTGACCGAAAAAGTCAAATTGAATGGTAAATTACACGCAATGAAGATGTACATAATCATTATCGCAGCACGACGCAGGTCAATGTGTGATATTACACGTTGCAAGTCTACACACTATCATGCGGACAGATCAAGTCTTACGATTCAGATAAAATAAGGTCACTTACGTCTGTAAAACGGTGAATGTTGAGGGCTTGCCATCTTGCCGTGCATGAAAATACTTATCCGATCAAGCTGAGCCTCCCACATGAGGAATTTATTTGAAGGGCGTGTGCTCCAAGATACTCTAATTGAACAGATCGGAATCGAGGTGAGAGTTCATTCTAGGTTCGATGGTCGAGGTGGAACGAATAGAAGTGTAATGGACTCAGCCCGAAGCTTGAAAGTACACGTTTGAGGATTGTTCGTTCCTAATTTGATGCTTATTACAATGAGGTGTAAATGAATCGAGCCTCATTTTTGAACCGAATTGAACTCACTTCGAAGTCACCTCAGTTCAATTGCAACACTACCCTCAACACAGTAGCTCAGTTGTCAGAACTTTCCATCATGGCGCTGAGATGCCCACCTAGCCATATGCTGACAATGTGTAACAATGCTTTTGGAAGATGGTGTTGATACGAGGAATACTGCGGTCCCAGTAGGTACAAGATCTTAGACTTCGAGGGTAAGGCGCCGGTTCTAGCATCGCTTGATACTGTGTCTGAAAACCAATATTAAGTCAATGAATTAGAGGCAATACAACAATACAAGACGAACGTAAGATGGATTCGTCAAATGGTAAGACTCCAATGGCTGATTTCCAGTGCCTGCTCGAGTCGAGAGTGATGGATACGTAGATGCTTGTGGGAATGCGCTACAAGGGAAATTTAAGGTGTTTTTCTACTGACAACTGTAAATAGAGTGTGATGATCACCAAACGAATGCGAAGGTGATATGGAGTAACTCACTTTCAAGTCTGATACATCGGCCCTCTAAGCTACTGGGCATGATAGTGCGATGAAGCAAGACAACAAGATCAAGGATGGGCGGTGGTGGGAGTTATCTGGAAGAACTTCGTCACCTTCAACTGCCGGAAGAGATTCTTTTAGTCATCGCATTCTCAGGTTGACTCTTGAGCTCATTGAGGACGAAACACTTGAGCAACTCGAACAACTTCTGATGTGATATACAAACTTTGACTGGCTGGTTAGGAGGAAGTGCTTCAAGTACCAGTTCTTCACCAGAGATACGTCCTGCGCATGATGCATGCGATCAGAGTGCCAATTATAAGGCTCAGGCGCCCATCATAGAGCGTCACAATAGAAGTGAGGTCGTTCTCGAGAGGCCTGTCCTCACATCGCATCATAAATTCTTCAATTGCCGGAATTGCAGGGAATCTTGGCTGACGAGGTCTTTGGGTGTCGTTCAGAACTGCGTGGAATGTGCAAATGGGTGGGTAGGGCATGGGAAATATCTGTAATACTACCACTAGTACATGTTATTGATCTGCGAAGGAGCATATCAATAAAAGTTTGTTGCAAGCGAAAGATGAGGAGACAAAAACGTACCAACAATACTGATAATAGCTTGCCTCACAATGGTTGAGCGCTAGCCTGGAGTGCCTTGACTCGAAGGAACATGTCAGTGTCCACAGTGTGGATGACGAAGTAATCCCCATCTGTTTCGGGATTTCTGGCGAGAGCAGCTCCCCGAACGATTGACCGAACCGAAATGATTTCAGAAGAAGAGCGAGGTTTGGCTTGCACGCGCCACAATCCCATATCATTATCCCGCCTCCGACGACTATTAGCAATACCGACGTCATATGGCTGAATAAGTGCGAGAGGGAATTCAGTGCCGCCAACCAAACAAGTGAACATGTATACGAGGCGAGCGAAGAATGGTGTGTTTGCAGTGTTCACGATGACGCAGTCGTATCTCGGCGATCCATAGAACTTTGGATTGCATCGGAGTAGGTCTCGGTGCATGCACCAGTCGACTAGTGATTCATAATTGATCCGCAAGAACCTAAACTCTGTTATCTGATAGAAATGCATCAGTATTATCAATTGAATGTAAAGTAAATGTACTGTATCCTCTGCTTGCATGTGAATGCGCCTTCCATCTGGTAATGGAATGTTATTCTGTGGCAGGAAGCCATTTAAGAAGTCGTTTAGCTTCATCCGAAAGTTGGTGAAGGCCCTGTCAGTTCCATGCAAGTGCATGATGTCGGAAAAAGAGTTATTACCCTGCCTTGAACCTAAATGTGCGTGAATAGTAGTAGATTTAGATGTTCCAGCGTCGGAGTCATCCAGTACTTCGTTGGTCTCAGGGTCACAGGTGTCTCGTTGATTGTACTTGTCGAGTTCGTCGAGTTCAGAGCGCATGGATGTCGAAGTTAGAAGCCATTCATCATAGTGTAGAATCTGTAACAATTAAAAACTATTGGTCTGAATCTGCATAACAATATAGTTAAGCAACGAACCTGAGAAGCAACATTCTTGAAATTTGTGCGTTGAAGATAGATTTTTCGTAAAGAGCCATGCATCTTTTCATTTGGCTTGGTACTGTAGTTACGTGTCACACCTTTGGCTAGAATATCGTCGAATGCATGCGAGACCAAGTGTTTCTTTGGAAAGTTCCAATTTTTGTTGGTTTCGGGGTGCGATTGTGCAATATATTCCTAATGAAAAGTCAGACAATTGTCATCGAAAACATCGGAACAACTTACATCCATCATTTCTGAGAACTTTTGCAGTGCCAGCCTTCCAGCTGCGATTGTATCCTCTGTATGTACTTCTAATGAGACATAAATATCAAACTCGACGTAGTAGTGAATGCAACGAAGAAGTAACTGTCCCAGTTTACAGTGGGATGAAGTAAGGATATCCTGTGCCGCAAAAACGATCATCTAAGTTTGTGTAAGTACCTAAAATCATTTATGATGGTGCAGACAAACCTTGGACAGATCACCGAGAACAGAACCATCAGTGAAATCAACTGCGACGACAGATGAAAAATGTGTTAAATTAGGCCATCGTGGAAGTTCATCGAAGCTAAGACACTGAGTCAGAAGTAGTGTCAATGTATTATAGCCACAATACATACTTTTTATCGAGTTTGACAGCCGCTTCACGCCCGAGGTCCAAAATCCAAAACTTTACTTCCTTCCACAAATGGTCACCCCATAATCCTTCCTCGTTTGTATGCAGGCGGTCGAAAGAAAGTGCACGATGAACATCGACATGAAGGATTCTCGAGAAGACATTCTAACAATTGAATTACATCAGCAAACTTGTCAATAGTAATAGATATAACAGCAGAAATGGTAAAATGGGAAGGAAGTGAAGTTTTTCATACGAGGTCGTGAATTGTTTGAAATACAAGTCAATCATTGTAAGAGGAAGGGTAAGTTGGGAGGGAAATGCATACCTCAACGTTTCGAAGCGAGAAAGCCTTTAGATGATCCTCTTTTTCCTTCTCAGACGGCTTTGATCTTGCAGTGCGGAGTATGTCTTCAGATTGGTGGCTTGTGCGCAGCTCATGGGTACGGAGAATGGACTGCTCGTCTTGTGGAACCAAACAAACTGGACACGGAAATTTTCCCTTAAGCCCACGGATCAATGCCATGATACATCTATAATTTGTACATGAGCAGCTCACAATAGTTAACTTGTAGTACTAGTATGACTTACTGTTCTTCGTAATCGGCACTTAAGATTAAAATGAGGGGCCAGAGATGACGTCGGATTCCGTCTCCGCATTCAAACCAATAGCCTGTATTTGAGTGCTTCGCAACCGAGGCCAGAAGCTGGTAGAAGGATGTATGCCAGACAGCATTTTTAAAGTCTACATAGTTCTTCTTTTTCGCATGTTCTTGATCCTCAACAATCTGAATTAATATAATGGCAGTCAGCATTACTATGAACTGAACAAGCTTGTCAGTATACTAACAATGGGCAGCCAGCCAACGACACGACCACCTCCTAGGGCAGTATTACTGTTACGAATATGAACCGGTAGGTTAGCGATGCGCGCAATGATTGGATAGCCTTTTTGGCTCCCAAATGACGATAGTTTACTCTTGTCCGCATAGAGGATGAATGCCAGTGGTTTTGCATCGGGCGGAAGCTGCGACTACAATTACAACAGTTTTGTAGCATATTATTAATTTAAAGAAACAAACAATAGATCAAATGTCGAAACATACTTGTGCCTTCCAAAACGCATCGGCAGTCCATGGTTCATCAATAAAACGTACAAATCTTTCTCCGTTGAATTTCGAGAGACATTGAGCATCAAATACAAAATGAGGTGCGAGACGTTTGTCTCGCAACAAGTCAAGGACCCAATCCCAGAGAGGGCGGTAGTGCATGTCGAATTCGCGCACTTCATTTCCGAGGGGAACAGACACTGCATCGTTCTGAAACTATGCACTAATGATCAGCTTATGGTAATGTACTAGTAGTAGCTACACGAGACAACACTTACTCTAGTATAACGTTGCGAAGCAAGGTCCCAGAGGGAGCGGACTTCATCATGATTATGCAGTGTGAACGTGTCATTGCCACTAGCAGATCGATGTATGAGATTGATAAGGCGATTGGTTTGATCCTTTGTCATCGCAGCTTCGAGTGCAATCTCTGCTACTTTGAAATCAAGCCGTGTGCGGAATGGCTCCCATGGCGAGTCGTTACGAGGTACATAGTCTTCTGTTGGGCAGCTGCGAGAGAACTCAGAGAAGCGATGCACGGTAGAAGGAATTTGGCTGTGAGGATGATGCTCGACTTTGATATCGTCAAGCTCGTGCGCAGGCTGATTGAGATCAGGATTGGACTCGTTGGGACCAGGATCGGGCTCGTTGGGACCAGGATCGGGTTCATTGGGACCAGGATCGGGTTCGTTGGGACCAGGATCGGGCTCGTTGGGACCAGGATCTGGTTCATTGGGACCAGGATCGGTTTGGTGGAAGTCAGGTAATGGGTCCGCCGGAGGGTATTGGCGAGGTGAAGACCCTCGCATAACTGATACTGTTAGTCTCAGTATAACACTAATCAAATTGAATCAAACGTACCAATGTCTGAGTCTGCGGCCCATATCGCGGTGGCATTCACTGTGTTGCGAGAAGAAAATTCTAAACCATAGTACTATTGTTAAAATATGAGTGCTCACCTGCAGATGATTGCGCATCCTCCAAACGTTGTAAATTATTACGAATTTTGCGACGCTGCCTTCGAAGTTCTGTAAAAAAAATTATCAACCATCTATCAAGTACATCATTGAAAGACAACTGATTCGAGTGCTCACCTTTCTTTTCGGCTTTCTGAACTATGCTAACAAACTCCTCATCTTCCTGCCGTTCCCGTTCCTTCTTCGCGCAAGACCTCGAATGGGATCCTAACCCACGCGCACGCACATTCACTCCACATCGATCACACGTCACAAGGTCTGATGCTCGTTGTTTTGACTTAGGCATTGATGTCAAGTAGCAAACGAGCAACGAGCAAGCTGATAGTGATCATATAATATTAGAGTGAGAGCGTAAAGCTGCGAGTAACGGAGTGCATACCGAGGACCAAGCGTCAAAGCCCGTCAGGAATACAGACAATGATTGAGGAGATGATATGTTTCGTTTAAACAAATTGGATATGCTTGGAAGAATTGTTGAGCAGAAGAACGACGAGTTTTGGATAGGGAAGACGTTTGGACTGACTGTAGACTTCGGATAGACGATGGGAGTGAACAAAAGTTGTTGTTATCGATGGTATGCGAGAGAATAAGATTATAAATCAAAGTGACAAGACGGTCCAGGGCTCAGTTCAGTTGAGAATAAAGAAGACAAATGAGACTGGAAAAGAGGCGTACAGTGTCGGAATCGAAAAAGAGGCGTACAGAGTCAGAACCGTTGATGCAGCATGTGTCGCCTCGCCTAGGTATAAGTCATATCAGTAATCCGAATCAGAATTGCATCAGCATGATATTCAAACTCCGCTTAAGGCGTCGTAATGAGGTCGTAATGAGGGTCAAAATCATTTTGAGCCTGATTGTAACGCGTGACCATTATGATGCCGGTAAAAAATCTCCGACATAGGCAACAAATATGAATGGTGTTCTGTGGTGGCCATGTCTAGAGGCATCCTGCCTCCCTACACAAGTTATACCCGCTTCCGAATAACGCAATGCACTCCGTGGCGGAAGCGCTTGTCCTTGCCTCTATCCGCTGCCCGAGGATACTCTTTCCTCACAAATGCCACCCGCACCTATTCCCGAAGGCATATCACATCCTAGCATCCCCGTCAAGACGTCTACCTTCACCTCTCATATTCCATATACCTGGCTTCTGTACCCTGCACCGCATCACAGACTATGCCCAACACATCCCATCAACAACTAGCTCTACATCTCTAACGATCTCACGCAAGGCTCACTCGCGTCGGTCAAGTCGATCTCCATTACTACCTTCAATACCCGCGCATTCTTCCTCCTCATCACAACCTATTCTTCATACTCCTCCCCTCCCAATACCTTCGGCGTTCATAAACCAGCCACCGCAGTCCATAATCGAGGCTCTTCAGGTTGCCATCGACACGCGCTTAACGACCCTTGCTACCAAAACTCGCCCGTCGCTTCCGTTCATAAGCTTTCTCCTACTCTCAAACATAGTACCAAAGTTCGCGTGGTATCTGATGATTTGGCGAGCAATCAGTCTTTATCTGCGCAAAGAGGGTCTTCTGCTCTGCCCAAGGTTGTCTTGCCTTCTATGCTCGATTTCCTTAATTCCAGTGAACGTGAACAGTGAGTCCATGTTGCCATTGTTCTTTGTGTGTAAGGCTGATGATGTAGACTAGCATTTTCGGCTGCATCGCAGAATGCCAAGACGAGAGCGTCCAGCACGTTGCTCCGTCTAACATCAAATATTCATGGCACCAAGTGCTGTTTCAAGACGGGTAACTTGATGCTGTCCTCGTGTCCAGGAAGGAAGGGTACGTTTTACTCAAGGCTCGAGGGCATTCGCTGACTAGCGTCAAAACGGTTACTAGTGCGCTTCGCAGGTCAGGTCAGAGGGCGTAGCGCCGTTTGTCGAGATCTCGACACTGATCTACGGCGCATAAGCCAAGTCAGGGCCCGCTATATTGTCTGGTCAGTTGATGTATTGGTGTGCCATGTGCTTAGTTGACTGTTCTGTAGTTGTCTCGCTGACGAGGAGCTCGATTTTCTTGGAATATGATGGTCAAACTACGTGAGCTCTGCGCATCGGGCAGGAATGGACATCCTTCGGTAAGTACTGCGTCTGCTGAGTCATTCTGCTGCTCACTTTCATTATACCACTACCTGAAAGCCTTGCTTCACTATCGCCCCAGTCATTAGACGAATCCCTGATAAAAACTATCAACAATTGCGTGGTGCAAGTATACTTGTGCACTGTCGTGGGGCTTGGGTAGGGCAGGCCTCGTAGCCTGCTGCTGGGTACTAAAAATCCGCTTGTGCGGATGGATCAATGTAGACGACCTATCACCGAACCCAGCAGAAGGCGCCGATGGCCTGGAGAACTATGTGAGGAAGGATATTTTACAACTCGTCGAGCGCGCGATCACTGTTTAGTAGCAGCTTGTGTTTGGAGGCTTCCCGCACATCGTAATACACAGTTGCAGTCAATGGGGGGACCCTGCATAACTTATTCCCGCTACAGGTCGTTAAAACAACACGCGACACTAAATTTGCCTCTAACCATTTAATTGTTCTCGTGGGATGCAAAAACTGATCAAGATAAAACGCGATGACGCTTACACAAGTTTGTCCGGTAGAATATCAAATGAGAACCTGCACCCCGCCCCATTCCAACACCCTGAACAAGTCACATCACCAGCTCTCGTAGGATCAACTTCAACTACATCCTACATCCACCCACCAAGCAACGTCGTTCTCTGCTTGCAGTTGTGCATTGAGCCAATTTGCTAGGTGCTTCTTACAGATACTTTTGAACAACATGCATATGCGAGTCACGACGTCAGATTGCGGAGAAATGTTCAAAGAAGTGGCGCGTTCGTATGCCGCTTGAGGAACAAATCGGATGGCAATGTATTCGTGCTTAAGTGGATATCATGACAAGATGAACGATGAAACTGAAATACTCGTGGACATTCAGCAATGCTTCTAGCAGCAGCAACAGGACAGGCCGCCTCCATGTTCGCCGGTGTCTACCTGAACTGCTACTGGTTGATGTTGCTGTTGCGTATTGGGATCCCGTGAAGTAGGGTCTTCATCACGTATCAAGGAGTGCTCACTCCCAGGAGCACCCGCTGCTGCATTACGCTGTAGATTTAAGTGAGACACCCAAGAAACAGTCATGACAAAATAACCGAGCGCACCTGTCGACCTTGAGTGAAAGGAACGTCAACAACAGGTGGTGTTGCATGATGGAGTGGTAGGGTAAATATGCGTCGTAGGTGAGTTTGAAGGTGGTGGTGGTGGCGGTGACTGGTGGTGAGGTGGGGGGTGGTCCAGGTCCAGGTCCAGGTCCAGGTTTAGGTCTAGGTGCAGGAACTGACTCAGGCCTCTTCGTCATAGCGAGCCTCAGTCTTTTGAGGCGCCCAGCCCGCTGTTCAAGTCTGGGCCCTGAAATCTGCGAATACTGTAATGAACTATGTGAGAGAGAACAGAAGGATACGCTCTTGAACACACTTGATGCATTCCATAGAAATTGGGTTCTGCATCATAGCCATCGTGATCTTGGCCGGGGATCTCTGTCTGCATAACTGAGTGACATCCGGGTGAGTATGATAGCGGCGGGCGACATCGCTGAAAAATTGCCGTTGGACCAATCAAGGCAGCTGGCCTTGGTAGATTCGTCGATAACGTCCATCTTGTATCTGTATGCTTCGAGGGCTTCATCGGCTTTACCTACCGAAAGGAAAGCTTGGCACCGTTTCTGGTGTGTCATAAGCAACAAGGACTCGAGATCCCAACCGAAGAGCTGCGCAAAGCACTAGGATATAAAAAGTATTATGTATGCATCATCTTGACGCACAACGGTCAAGTCCTGGTATTGGAAATGTATGTATTTCGATGAGACAGCACCTGAGTTGACAACGGCGGTGAGGTGATCGCACGTCATTAAAAGTTTTGATTCACATAGATATGTCTATTGTGGGAGTTGAAAAGATCAGGATCGACGACCAGGTATGGCCACACGATACTTACTTCCACGACACGACGCGTAAGAGGATCGATATTGGGATAAGCGGCAGCCAGGTCTTTGATGAGCAGCATTGCTTCCTCGTGTTGATCTGTGTTGAAGAGTGCGATGACCTGGAATACCGGATGAAGCAGATAGCGTGGAAGACGGATTGAATGTACCTTGATCAAGAGAAGAAATCAGTTGGTTTCTAAATCTTGGTTCGTGAACATAGATGCAACGTCAAATGCTACTCTCGCTTCTCGGACGTGACCTTTTCCGCAGAGGGCAATACCTTTGGAGATACAGCCAGTCAATGATGGCCTAATGTTGATTGACTATGTCACAGATGAAAGTTAGCCTTTCGTAAGAGGACAATGATGGGTGAGTCCATCCCACCTTGATTGCATCCTCAAGGGCGTGGTCCAAGTCGTGCTTCCGGGCCATAACGAACGAACGATTGGCATATGAAGTAAAGTCGTCGGCGTTGGTGTGGATCTCTTGGGTGAGGAGCTCTTCAGCGGTAGACAAATCCTCAGTTAGACAAGCATCGCGGGCTGTTGTGATGTCAAGGATCTGTACAAATGATGCTCGAGTTGCGTAATGAGTCAGAAATGGAAACTCGCCTTTGAATGAGCATCCTTTGGTATTGCTCACTCTGAAATCTTTTTGTCTGCACCTCCGCTGAGGATGTGCTTGCTGTCCACAGAGAACGTGACACAATTCGGGTAGGATGGATGCTGGAAGATGGTGATGGTTCGTTGATCTTAGAGCCGCCAGAGACGGACATGGTTGTCTCGAGATGCAGAAGCAACGAGAGTGCGGCCAGCGGGATGAATGACAATGGCGTTGATATGATCAGTGTGGCCTTCATAGGGATGACAGACCTGCTGCCAGGTTGATGTGTCCCACTCCCATATCATGCATTGCATCTTTGACAGATCACACTGGCGGATCATTGCATGGGACATGACACTCGTATGGACGCCTGATGGCACACGCCTTCTTTCAGGAAGCGGTAAATACATATGGGCCATGTCAATATTGAAGCCTGCTGCGATGGCAAGAAGTTCACCAGAAGGCGAATATTAATATTGAACGCAGAAGACAGTATGGGTAGCGTACTTGGTTGGATCTCCTTGCATCTGCCACGTTTTGGTACAACCGTGCTGTCATAGTATGAACCAGTGGCCAGCACCGTTCCATCCGGGGAAGAATCGATTCTATTGGACTTGGCTTCGATCGTTTGACTCGGTTTGAGTGATGGATTCGCCAATTTTACCGTGCCAGGCGATGACCTTTGCATTTTCATCACTTGCTATATTATTTGACCATTTCGTGACGCCTGCACCTTCCTGCCATGCCCTTCCATCTTCTTCAACACAACACCTATCTCCAGGTCCCAAAGACGAAGTGTCTTGTCGTCCGAGCCAGTAATCATTCGTCGTTTGTCGGGGAACACTGCGACTGCATCTACGGCACTCTCATGATCTTCAAAAGTTCGAATGGGTGTGGTGCTTGGAGTGAGCTGTGACATTTTACTGGAGCTTGATGGTGCTGAGCACGGCCGAGGGATTGTAGGTGTCTTTCTCTAAGTTAGAGGTGCATGTCTTGTGTGTTTGTATGTTACTTCACCGCGCTAACCTTCCTCGTTTAGGCTTCCATAGACGCCCAAGACACGAGGTAGTTTGCCATCACCGGCTCAGCAAGAATGCTCCCGATCAGTCATAATGGACTGCACTAGCTACATGCGTCCAACATTTGTCTTCACAGTTTCAAGCCCTGCCGAGACATCAAGCGAGCATCACACCTCTGCAACAAACTTTCAAGCCCAAGTCTTATGTCTCACTGACATGACCGCTCACCTTACAGCTCTGCATGTCTATGGTGCGTCTTGCTTGTTGATCACCGTCAGGAAGGCAACGTGTCCGATACTGTGCACCAAGATGATCAAGCTTTTGTTGCTTTCGCCTGCAGTTAATTCGAGCCCGAGAGCATCCATTACGCGCATCATGAATGAAAAAAAAATACAAGAACATTGTAGCAAACCGCAAAGTAGTCTCGATTCTACCATTTCCATCAGCATCAGTGGTCATCCGCGCTCGGCCACCCCCATCTAACGAGCCGAGTCGCTCGGTCATGCCACGGCTGTACTCTGCGACTAGCTAGTGTGGATATCGTAGAACCACGAGTGCTAACGAAGCCAGCTCCATTCGACTGAATGATAGCGTCGAGGAACGCTGGATGCCTGGGAACAGCCACAACGTCAGAATGAAAATTTGATATCTGGTCGGCTCACCATTGTCCATAGATCTCCTCTGTCCGCTCCGCTGCATAATCTACCCGCGTCCGCCCCAATGCCCTAACATCTGACCACCATTCCGGGTTCCTTTCGCCGCTTGTCATGATAACATGCGTGGCATCAATGCCTTTTCGTGTGTGAAGCTCTTTTTGCACCTCGGACACCCTGCGCGCAATGACAGACAACGGGGCGAAGCACTGGTCCACTGAAAACCCCTCGCATTGCTGGCTGAAGTCACCATGCCGTATGTGGATCGATATAATACTATCAAAAGTTAGATCTGTAGAATAACCTATCCCCGAAACTTTGACTCACGGGAGGTGTTAGTTTAGTTACTAGTACATTCATGGTGCGTCGGGCAAGCCCATCGACAAATTTTTCCATGCTCGCAGTCCATCGCATGTGTACAACTTCGTGAGTTGAGAGATCGTGAGATTTCGGATTCAAAACCATATTAAAATCAAATACTAGCCTCAGACTATCCCAGCTGCGACCAGAAAGTCTGGTTTTTCGAGAGTGCGGCGTTCGAGGACGGGATTGATCGACCGACGACAGCCCCGAGGACGACGGCAGCTCGGCAGCATGATGCGAGGTGTGTACATGGATTTTTTGCGAGACCAGCAATAAAGCTTGAAAGATATCCATACAAGGGATAGGCGGGCCTGATCAATCTTGTGCCAATACGAAGAGCACTGAACAAGAAGCAGCAGTTAGCAACTGTAGCATTGTCTTCTCCACCCCTCACCACGTTTCTTCCGTAGATTTATCTCTGCGGCGCTCATACAGTCTTTGAGCTGAATGCCTGCACGTTAGGGCACTGGAAACCGATACTAGGGCTGGAGTGGAAGCTGTCGTACACTGGCAAAAGGTGATTTTGCCAATTGGATCAGTGAGTACTTGACTACGTAAGCAGGCGGTCTGGCTCAAGTTTGCAACTGCAATGTGACAACCTGACGGAAGTGGCCTGTCGTGAGAATCGAGATTCCCGTACTATCCGGCCAGATTTTCAACTCCCGGAATTAACGATTCCCAGGTGCGTTACGTTCACGTTCTTCGCTTGACTCTGGCCTGGAAAGTTCCCAACTTATAGAGATGATAATCCAATACGAATCAACCCTGCAGGGATTTCCGTCAGCACGAACAACATTACTGCACACTCACTTCTGCACCCTGAGTGCTCAGTGCTGTGTTGTTTTGAAGGATTCTCGTCATCAGCAAGGATGGGAACGACATCGATAGCTTGCCAGGATCCTGTCTTATTCCAACTTGGTGGCGGCGACTGTTGTGCAGGAAGTGGCACTCGGGGCTCATAGTTTTTCTTGTCTGGTTCCGAATACATGAAAGAAGATTTTGGTAGGAGGACGGATGGACTCGGATTCTGCCGCCGCCTGACTGTTCAGTGCAGCGAACGTGATTAGTTCAAACAAGTCTGAAGGCCTGCACGTATGAGTGCATGCTACTTTCCATTACACATGTTACGAGCTCAGCGCTGTGGCTTTCCCTTTGTCCTCGGGCCTGGTAATTCTGTTCTTCCTGATGTGGGCAGGGGATGTTGTGCATAGGGCGCGGAAATGTAACTGGTACCTTGATGGCCGGCCCTACTAGGGTCCACACTGACCAGGGTCATTCCATGGTGATCCACCGACTCGCAAGGTGGATATCTGGCTGCCTTGCTCTCTGTTATGCTTACGGCTGCATCGAATCAGATATTTTTTTGCTGACGCTATAAATCTGGCGGTCTTTTCCCCCCGATTGCTCTGGACATGCCCACCCGATAGCGATGAGTGATATTCTCCTCTATCTCATCTCGACACTGTTCTCCCGGTGCCATTACCTAGTTTCTATCACTCACAGAAGTCGAGATAATTGCGGTGAATCTTAAGGTGGTATCTTGATTTTACTCATATTAATCCAAACGTTCACATTCCTGTGTCCTGACATCGTCTTCCCTGATATTTTGCAACCTGCTGGTGATTATGACATACGCATACCACGTACTTGATCGCAAAACCGACGATTCTTGTCTCACTCTGCCTCTGGTTGCCCCAACTTCACGACGAGTGACGTCGCCCTAACGCTGCGGTTCAGTACCATCGATCTCGGCGCATTCTTCTGCTTCTCACAATCACATCTGAGAAATTTTTGATGGAACGATGTTGTCGGTGGGCAACTGACCAAGTCAGCCTCCACGACCACGTTGATGGAACGGGAGTCGAAACCCGCCTCTGAGAGAATTAGTAATTACTGCCAACCTTCGTATCTCAAGATGTATGTTTACAAGGGTGAGGATCTTTTTGACCACAAGACCGGTGATACTGACATAGTAGTGCTTCAAAATTTCTTTCGTAGGATCATCTTCTTGATAATTCGTTATAGCGATCGCATGAGGGCGAGCATAGATGTTGGTCTCTCGACAATAGAGAATAACTGACTTCGTTACGTGGAGGGAGGCAACATGTATTATAAATCCAACAATTGGCAATGCTCCGTTCTTACAATCGGATCAAGCTCAAGTGGTGGGCGCAACACCAATTGGAAATCGTTTTACAATATGTAGATGAAATTTTGAAACCTGAGTCGCATTCAACACATTGTCGTGCTTCGGGGTCAGTATCGATTTCAAGACATTGTGAATGCGAATACTCAAACAATGGGTTCGGGACATAGTACCAGTAGTTGCTATTATAACTAGTGAGACAATCATAATATGGCAATTGCGGACGATCGGGTATGTAACTCCATGGCGCTTTCCGACACGGCATGAAAAAATTTGAATCTCTTGTTCTCTGCCTCATCGCCGAAACCGTGACAGAGACCACACTAGGCTCTGCTGGGCTGCGCACCGCCAACAATCCAGTTCTTGGTGCCACAGCCCGATACTTTCTCTGAATCCACGGGCCTCGAGTTGACCAGGGTCCAACAGCCAATGAATCATGGTTCGTTCATTCCGACACGACCGGGATGGAAGAATATCTCAGCCCCGAGGCATAACTACTCCGTGACGACAACATGGCACGAGCCCATCTGGTCATGGTGGAAACCTGTGTGTTAGTGCCTATCTGCAAGGCTGTTGTGAAGGTAATAGTGATGAGTCTCATTGTCTTAGGTCAAATATCGGCAACAACAACCCGGATCAAGCCTCATGGAAAGTTTCTGCCTTTGTCTTCCACAACTTTTCACCGCAAGTTACACTAGTCTCTACAAAGACGCTTTTCACGCGACATTCGTCCGAATTTTAACTGCCCGATCGGCTCACCCGGCGTATTATGTCTCAACGGTACATATAATCGAGGACAAATCTTATGGACTAATGTCCCACTGTCGCATGATAAATAAGCCTGGTAACAAGTGCAACATCCTTCTGTTCTTCTTGGCCGTGTCTTCTTCTATCGCCATTCCTGTGGTGGTGACGACTGTCACATAATATGCAGTTTATCAAGAACTTGACACGAGGATTTCCGACTATTACTGGCATACGATGGTTCAACCTTTCTGTCCTCGTTATCACACCAGCCCTTTCCCTGTACGGCTTGCTATATGTTCCTATCCTTCAGAAGACTGTCGTTTGCACTATCCTCTATTACATTTATTCCATGCTCGGTAGGTACTCGGCAATAGTCATCTCTTCTGATTGCTGAATTCGCTTCGCTAGGCATCACCGCTGGTGAGTAGTGAAAATACTCGCAACGAGATAGCATTGAAACGTGTTACTCTAGGGTACCACCGGCTTTGGTCGCACAGATCGTATAATGCTTCGTTCCCTTTGCAGGTATTCCTTATCCTTGCGGGAGCGAGTGCAGTGCAAGGCTCGTGTTACTGGTGGGCACGCCGACATCGTTCTCACCACAGACATACCGACACCGACTTTGACCCTTATAACTCGGAACGTGGCCTCCTCTGGACGCACATCGGATGGATCATTTTCGAGTCGGACTTGAAAACGGGACCAGCCGATATTTCTGACTTGCGTAAGGATTCTCTCGTACAATGGCAGCACCGATGGTACTTTGTTATCTTGACTATTTTTGGCTATTTGCTTCCAATGGTCATTCCTGGCTTGTTATGGGGAGACTGGAAAGGCGGATTCTTTTTCGTTGGTGCCCTTCGCATGACCGCGTGCCATCATGTGAGCTTCATCTTGTTCATCAAAGGCAAAGCTTAACCTTCATCTTAGAGCACTTTTTGTATCAACTCCGTTGCTCACTATCTCGGCAGCACACCATACGATGACAAGCACTCGCCGCGTGATCACCTTATATCCGCTATCCTTACGATGGGGGAAGGGTACCATAATTTCCACCACCAATTTCCCATGGACTACAGGTAGCAGTTGACCTCCATTGTGCCGTTCTCAGTTCTATTTACGAGTCTGGCCTTTCCACCAGGAATGCATTCCGATGGTACCAGTATGACCCTACTAAGTGGTTCATCGCTATGTGCCATTCCCTCGGGTTCGCCTCCCATCTCCGTGTCTTTCCCAGCAACGAAATTGAAAAGGGTGCACTCACGATGAAGCTCAAGGCTCTCAAGGACGTTCAGGACTCGATTGAATGGCCTGTACCCCCGCAGGAATTGCCCATTGTGACGTGGGAGACATGTGAGCAAACGCTATCCAATACAAAAAAATTCCTGAAAAAGTACAAATTTCTGTCAATAGTCCAGGAAGAATCCCAGACTCGCACTCTTCTCCTCATCTCGGGTTTTATTCACGACGCATCCTTTTTCTTTGATAGCCATCCGGGAGGACCCGCTCTGCTCACACGAAACTCTGGAAATGACATGACTGCCTCCTTTTTCGGTGGCATCTATGCCCACTCTCACGCAGCGCACAACGTGTGTATCATGCTTCTGTTCGCTTATCTAACGATGCTAATGATTGACTCTCATACTCGTTGGCCGCTGCGAATACATAATACTCCATTACATAGCTCCTTGCGATGATGCGCGTGGGCATCCTTGCCGGTGGTGTAGAAGTGCCAGCAGAGCATGCCATCCCACCCAGTCAGCAACTTGTGATCCGTACTGGTGCCTCTCATTAAAGACACAGCCACTTGACCCAACATGTGTCCAGTTCGTTAGACAACCCGCCTGTGTATTAATGTGATCCTTCATCTTAAAACATACGAGTATCTATAGCGTAAATATCCAAATTTGTAGCTTCTATCCCAGTTTTCGACCCCACTAGATCATCCTATGTATTTTCTCTTACACTTCGTTACTACTCGCCCCTTGCTTTCCTTCTATTCTGTACATACTAATCTGGGTCCGATGTTGTGTGACTGTTGTGCACTAAAACATCATGCCATGAATTAGACAATGCTCACTGCGGTAATAATGCCATCTCATTCTCGTCGGAATGGGATGAAATTAGTGTCGCTCAGTGTCCTTCATTATAGGCTTATGGCATTGCAAGTTGCAACGGGGTAGGTGACATTCGCGATTGCTACCTGTGCGAAATGGACAGGTTTTAGCGTTGCCCGTATTCAACCTTTTATCGCAGAGCTGAGCCAACCCGGATCGAAGTTTCAAGCGATTGATCAAGATCAACATTGCAATTGCACATGCACGCAGAAACACGTCTCATTAACGTTTTAACACTCGCTATGTTATGTAAAGTGAAATCCTCGTATCGACAAGCCGTAATAATCCATAACTAACTTTCAAGGTCTACCGATTGCGTAATGAATTGCCCCGGATGCCTCGTGTCGACCAGTTTAAAATCTTCCACCTTGGTCTAAACTCAGACTACGTCCTTCAGACCACCACACGTCAACTGCTTGAAGCCTTTGAAGTTTTTGAAACATGTCGGAACCAACAGCAGCACAGCTCAAGGACGAGGGCAACGATTTCTTTAGGAAGCAAGACTATGTTGGGGCATTAGCAAAATACACCGAGGCTATTGCTCTGGATGACAAGAACGCTGTTCTTTACGCGAACAGGGCTGCTTGCCATCATGGGTTGAATAGGTGATGTTACAGTTATAGAGCTGCGGTAAAAATAACTGACTGCAATCTTTAAATAGATACCTAGATGCTGTCGATGACGCAAAGATGGTACTGATGCTCAGTATCGTATACATGGAAAAATCTCAATGCGTCGTGATTTAGGCTACGCAAATTGATCCAGGTTATGCAAAAGGGTGGTCACGACTAGCAGCATCTCGAGACGTAAGTCCTTTTGCGCTCCCTTCTCGTCTGATCTGACGTCGTGCATAGGCTCTTGCGGAGTGGGACCGAAGTGCTGAAGCGTGGCAGAAGGCACTGGATGCACTCCCCAAAACCAACCTCAGTCCCGCAGAGCAGCGACAGAAAGATCAATATAGTGCCGGTCTGGATGCAGCCACAACCCGTAGCAAGACCACAGAGAGCCCATCTGTTTCTCGTTTCAAAGGAGAAGATGCCAATCTTCCTTGGAAAATCGCGACGGAGATGCTTCCTGAACTCCGGAAAGGGGGTCCCGAAAAATACTCTAGCAGTGTGAGTTTCACTTTGTAATGTTGCGCACCATCGCTGAATAGTGGTACCTTTCATGTAGGCTTGGGTGATTTCATATGCATACGAGGTATGTTTGCGCCTTTCTATGTAATAAGGTCCTATTGACATTTACTAGGAATTCACGAAAGGGGTGGCATTTATGAATGAATTCAAATCAATTCCTCACCCTCAAGCTCCAGGAGGCTTTGCCTACGGCGGAAATACGATGGTGAGTCCAAGCCGCTTTCTTCAGCTTGCAATATCATGGTACCTAACATGTATAGGGCTTGACGTATTTGACCAATGGTTTGATGCGTGACGAGCGCGCGTTCCATCTAGATGGCCCCGACTGGATTACCAAGTACAATAACCAAGGCAATCTTATTCTAGCATTGCATGAGGAATCACACTGACTGAGCTTCAGTCAAATTCGAAGCTACGGCTCGCCAAGCCTGGCACTCCGACGGGGTCGAAAATATCAAGCAACTGGCACAGAAACGCCTGAAGGAAAAGGGATGGAATGATGTACGCCCCGCTTTGTCGGTGACAGTTCGGTGCGTCGTATGAGCTTCGTACTGTAATATTTATGGATCGTTCGGTGCAGTGCATGGATAATGAGGGGCATGTTGGACGGCCATCTGAGAAACAAACCTGACACCGGTGTTCAGTTCTTGAAACGGGCTGTCGACTTGCTTGAATGGGGTCGAAATGTTTGGAAGAATGTTCACAAGGATGATCGTGGAGCGATTTTCCAGGATACATTTTTGCGAGGCGTGCGTAGCTTGCACCTGAAGATGTTTATGAACGTGCGTTGCGAGTCATGTTACTTTGGGTACTTGTTTAATCGAATGATAGGCTTACAGCGCCGATCCTGGCTTGAACTCCAAGTTCCCCCTTGAACATCTGAAAGAAGAGGCTGAAGATCTGCTCAAAGAGATTGAGATAGCATCAAAGAACCCTAGTAAGGAGGAAGTTGACCCTGGCATGGTATCGTCTTTCTGTATATATCCTGCTGCAGTTGCTTATACGTATGTCTTTGTCTGTTTCCCCGCGCTTCCGTTCCTTTCTCATGATTACCTTGCTTTTAGGATGATAGGATTCTATCATGCACAGACAGCTCGGCACAGCGATGACGTTCTCGCATGTATTAGCTTTGCGAATGGGGCAAGTGCATACTTGCAGGCAGCTAAAACGTACCCCGAGGACGACGAATTCCATGCATGTAAGTGACCAACACAGACTCGCACGCGTGTTTTACAAGTGTTTCCCAGTTTACTTGAGCTGCGCTATGGATTGTATGCGAAACGCCGGTCTCCCTATTCGCGACTTCAACCTAGCTGCCGTTACTTTACGTGCAGCCGTGCCCAAGATGATGAAGATATGGACAGTCTCTGCTCTGCAGCAAGGCGGACGAGACGAGAAAATACAAGCAAACTTGCGCAGCGCAGATGAGATGATGAAGCTTGTCGCCGAAGGGAAGTTGACACTGGAAGATCCTGTGCCTTTGTGATCATTGGGATTTATGCATTTTTATACATACTAACTCGTGTAATTGTACGCTCTTGTGCTTTCTATAAAAGTAACTTTCACGGAAGATATGGGGACCCCTCTGCAGATGCGCAACCCGTGGCAGGGGGATAATAATGATGCTCAGGCCGCTACTGAAGCACTTGTAGGATGCAGTGCCTGGCTGAATCCATAGATCCGAGATATGTTCTCATTCAGTAAAAAAAAGTAACCATAGTGCAGGATACCCAAAAATCGAGAAAACTCAGTTAAGCGTCTTGGTCAAGAATAGTGGTGGCATAACTAGTAATTCGACCAGTGTTCGATTCGCAAACATCTCGAGATCGACGTCCGCGCGTGGATGAGGTCGGAGCCTCATGATACGAGTGACCAATTGGCCCGCCGAATTCCTGATAACACTGAGATATGCAGCCGGATTATAATCCATTAGACTACATGTTCGTGATAGAACATAAGAGTATAGAGTAGTCACGTTTGTTGTATGATATTCAGAAAAGAATTGTATATTTGCTTTTAATTTGGGTCGGCTGCAATGTATAAGTAACTTTGTATTTACTTCTATTTATTCTAGGCATACGAGTTGGGCGTTGGACTGGGGCGTTGGGCATTTACTCCCCTATTAAATGCCCTGGATGCCTCGTGTCGACCAGTTTAAAATCTGGCTTCCACCTTGGTCCAAACTGCGGTCCTTCATACCACACGTCAACTATTTGAAGCCTTCGAAGTTTTTGAAACATGTCGAAACCGACAGCAGCTCAGCTCAAGGATGAAGGCAACGAGTTCTTCAGAAAGCAAGACTACGTTGGGGCATTAGCAAAATACACTGAGGCTATTGCTCTGGATGATAAGAATGCCATTCTATATGCGAACCGCGCTGCTTGCCAGTATGAGTTGAATAGGTGAGGTTACAGTTATAGAGCTGCAGTAAAAATAACTGACCATAAATTTCAAATAGATACCTAGACGCTGTCGATGATGCGAAGATGGTACTGATGTCAGCATCGTATACGTGGAGAAAACATTAATGCGTCTTAGGCTACGCAGATTGATCCAGGCTATGCCAAAGCGTGGTCACGACTAGCAGCATCTCGAGGCGTAAGTCCTTGCGCGCGCGATGCTCCCCTCTTGCCTAGTCTGACATTCGTGCATAGGCCCTCGCAGACTTTGAGGGAAGTGCTGAAGCGTGGCAGAAGGCACTGGATGCACTTCCAAAAACCAACCTCAGTCCCGCAGAGCAGCGGCAGAAAGATCAGTATGGTGCTGGTCTGAATGCAGCCCAAACCCCCCAAACCCGTGGCAAGACCTCAAAGAACCGATGTATTGCTAGTGTCAACCTCGATGATGGCAATCTCCCTTGGAAAATTGCGACAGAGATGCTTCCCGAACTCCGGAAAGCGGGTCTCGACCAATTTTCTAGCAGTGTGAGCTTCACCTATAATGTTGCATACCACCGCTAAACAGTGTACTTTTTATGTAGGCTTGGGTGATTTCATATGCATACGAGGTATGTTCGCGCCTTTCTATGTAATGAGGTCCTATTGACATTTACTAGGAATTCACGAAAGGGGTAGAATCTATGAATCAATTGAAATCAATCCCTCACTCTCAAGCTCCAGGAGGCCTTTCCTATCACGGAAATCTGATGGTAAATTCGGGTTGTTTTCTTCGGCTTGCAATCTCATGGTACCTAACATGTATAGGGCTTGACGTATTTGACCAATGGTTTGATGCGTGACGAGCGCGTGTTCCATCTAAATCACCCCGATTGGATTACCAAGTACAATAACCAAGGCAATCTTATTCTAGCATTGCGTGAGGAGTCACACTGACCGAGCTTCAGTCGCATTCGAAGCTACGGCTCACCAAGCCTACTCCGGCGGGGTCGAAACTATTAAAGAACTGATACAGAAACGGCTGAAGGAAAAGGGATGGAATGATGTACGCCCCGCTTTGTCGGTGACAGTTCGGTGCGTCGTATGAGCTTCGTATTGTAATATCTATTAATCGTCCAGTGCAGTAAATGGATAATGAAAGGCATGCTGGAAAGCCATCTGGGTGGCAGACCTGACACCGGTGTTCATTTTTTGAAACGAGCTGTTGACTTACTTGAATGGGGACGACTTGTTTGGAAGGATGTTCACAAAGATGATCGTGGAGTGATTTTCGAGGATACGTTTTTGCGAAGCGTGCGTAGCATGCACCTCATGATGTCTATGAACGTGCGTCGCGAGTCATGTTTCTTTGGGTAGCTGTTTAATCGCATGACAGGCTTACAGCAGCGGCCCTAGCTTGAACTCACATCTTGAACATCTGAAGGAAGAAGCCGAAGACCTTCTCAAAGAGATTGACATCATGATAGCATCAAATAACCTCAGTAAGGAGAAACTTGACCCTGGCATGGTATCGTCTTTTTGTGTTTATCCTGCTGCAATTGCTCATAAGTATGTCTTTGTCTGTTTCCCTGCGCTTCTGTTCCTTTCTCATGGTTGCCTTACTTTTCAGGACGATAGGATTCTATCATTCACAGAAAGCTCGATACAGCGATGGTGTTCTCGCGTGTATTAGCTATATGAATGGGGTAAATGCATACTTGCAGGCAGCTAATACATACCCCGAGAATGACGAATTCCATGCATGTAAGTGACCAACACAGACTCGCACGCGCAGTTCACCACTGTTTCCCAGTTTACTTGACCTGCGCTATGGATTGTATGCGAAATGCCGGTGTCTCTATTGGCGACTTCAACACAGCTGCCATTGCTTTACGGGCAGCCGTGCCCAAGATGATGAAGATATGGGCGTTCTCTATTATGCAGCGAGGCGGGCGAGACGAGAAAATACAAGCACACTTGCGCAGAGCAGATGAGATGATGAAGCTTGTCGCTGAAGGAAAGTTGACACTAGAAGATCCTGTGCCTTTCTGATCATTGGGATTGATGCATTCTTGTACATACTACTCGTGTAATTGTATGCTCTTGTGCTTTACATGGCCATCTAAGTATCTTCCACAGAAGATACGGGGACCCTTTTGCAGATGCGCCACCCGTGGCGGGGGATGATGATACTATCCCTTCCACTGCAATCGGCACCCCACAGAAGTCGGCACTTTCACAAAACTCGTATTTCTAGCTACTTAAACACAAAATTCTTAACATCTGTATCATTCTCTCTCTAATACAACTCATTACGAGGTTGAACGACCACGATTAAAGCAGAATTGAGTGAGATAGTCGAAAGTGCCGAAGTCACGCAGAAATGTCACCTGCCGATACATGCCATGACGGAGTTTCAAATTGCACCCCACTTTGGAAGTGCCGACTGGTGCAGCGCTGCGCGTCCGCATTCGCAAGTTTAAGTTAGCAGCGGTAGACGAGGAAAGCTGCGAGCTTCGTCAGACCCGACATATGAGCCACGCATTCAGGTTTCAATTCAGAGAATTTCAAATGGGTTATACTGCAGCAAAAGAACAGAATGTGAGTCGTGTTTCTGTCATGTTACAATACACATGGTCTCCCTATATATCCACCTCGATTTTACAACTACGGCACTAATAACAGTCGCCCTCGTACTTAGGTATATCTACTATTCAATACTATACTTGCTCATTCGAACGAATACTAATTGACCTTGCCCACTTGCTTGACTGCCGAACTGACTTTAAAATTGGCCTACGTGACATATCATGACTCACAGTGACATTTGCGTGACTGCCGACTTCTGTGGGGTGCCGATTGCAGTGGAAGGGATAGTACTCAGGCCGCTACTAGAGCAGTTGTAGGATGCAGTGCCTGTAGATCTGAGATATGTTCTCATTCGGTAAAAAAGTAACCACAGCAGACGCACTCAAAAACCGAGAGATAACTCAGGTAAGTATCTTGGTCAAAGAACAGTAGACAGAAGAAAGACATGACTAATTCAACCACTGTCCGATTCATGGACATCTCAAGATTGACGTCCGCGCATGGATGAGGTCGGAGCCGATACGAGTGACCAGTTGACCCGCCGAATTCCTGATAACACTTGGAAGATAGCCGGATTTGCATATAATCTATTGAACTATTTGTTCGTGATAGAACATAAGAGCATAGAGTGGTCACGTTGAGTCGCTACGGTTCGATCTTCCGCGACACTTGAATATTTAGAAGTCCGATCAAAGTATTGCAGGTGATGTCACACTCAACACATTCGCTTGCTTGAAACAGTTACTCGAGTACGACTACGAACGAAGAACGACCATTCATCGGCATTCGGGCGACAGTGGAGCTCCCGCAGGCCATGAGGCTCTACAGTCACATGCACGGCGGCGATGGTCATCGAGACGGGGAAGTTTGAGGTATCCTCAATACGGACTGTATTGCCTGGTATCTTGGACGGGAGTTGGGCAAGAAGGCAGTGCGTGAAACGATGCTCATACTTCGGAACGTCAGACAGCAAGCCAGGCGAGGACGTATCAGGCGTGATCCCCCGAAAATATGTTTCCTGTTGACAGTATAATTTTTTCTTATTTTTGCAATGACGAGGAGAACTGACGTTATCGTCAGATTCATCACCTTCCGTGAAAGCTTGTCGAAAACGCTGGGATCAAGGCCGAAGTTCTTGGCCATCACCTTTTTGGGCATATGAGCCAGCCAGTTTGAAAGGAGGAAGGTGTTGTCCTCTGAGAAGTTTCCGTTAGCGTGAACGCATCCACCTTTGCTGACACCCTGAATGGAATAAGGTTGACCTTTTGGTGCGTACCAGATATTTTTCTTGGTCAGATTAGCCTCATAAGCACCTCCATCATCAAGAATTGTGCACCTCCAGCCGCCCAGTAAGGGCATGTACGCCCATTCCATTTCACGATGCCCATGAAGCTCTCGGACAGCTTCCTCATCGAAACGCGTATCTACTCCCGCGAGCTCGGTGGAGGTCGGGTCATCTGCGGACTGTAGTCTGACGTGCCCATTTTCCATCTTCAATATGCATATGCGAGTCTGCGAATGACTATTTGAGCGAAGGGAGAGTTGGTTCGTCGAAGGAGGGTGTATGAGATTAGGAACTTGCTTGTCATGCTCAGGATTCCGAGGCTCGATGATATTGGAACCGCGATCACCGCGACGGGGCTCGGGAGGATAGTTGACTACGCATGGCTATCTGTGACAACTTGTGCTGGTCACTTTCAATCAGCCTTTCAGAATTTGTATGTGCGTAGAGATGAGGATGGTGCCATGCGATGACATTTGTATACTAAGTAAGTTAAAGTTACCACATGCGCCAATGCACATTCATGACTAGATAATAGCTTCTCCTACTATCTTAGGCCTTACTATGATCTTCTGGGTTTGAGAACGGGTCTTCTTCATCATCCTGGTTAACATAGATGAGTTCCACGAGGAGTTGTAGTGGAATGCTCGATTCCATACCTGTTCCTGCTCTTTCTTCTTCAAAATCCCTGTACGCTGCTCGCGCCCATGTTCGACTAGTTCTGGGTTCTTCGTGATCTTTCCCTTGACCTCCTCTTGTAAGCCGCCGAGCTTGTCTCCAAGACCCTACAACGCGACGCAACTCGACTTCGTTCAACTCTGAGATGTGGTAGATGTAAACTTACTGCTCCCTGTCCGTACAAGGGACCGAGCCCGATAGCTCCCGCGTGTCTTTGCGGCGGAAGCTGACTGTCGGCAAGAGGTTCAGACGTTGGTTGAGTTGAGGCTTCGGTGGAAGACGCATTGGACGTTCTGGGTTGGGTGTTAGTGCCTATGGCACACGGGTGGGCAGTCGACGAGGACATCGCGCTTCTCGTAGTTATCAATTAATTTAAGTTGGGTGGGAGAGTAGAATGTCATGGTTTGCCTGGGCTTTATACTCTTCGAGTGGCTTTGCAGTGTCGATATTAAAATAATCGTGACGTCAATGGATACTATAGTTGTCTGACGTCACTCTGCAGACCTGGCCGATGTAGCGACCACCGATTGGATCTGGAAATACTCCAAGGTCGCCCCAGTTGTGTTGCCCTCTCACACGGTACACCCACTCTGCTAGGTTGATACAAATTGTCATCAAAGCTTTCAACGTCACTAGCACCTATCATGATGGTGCTGCTTCTGGCATCATGATGTTCGATCACTTCGATTGCGCTTGTGTGGTTATAAAGCAGTTGAGCAGGGTGTTTCAGAGTCATGATACATACAGAAAATGATGAGTAGGTGTAAATTGATTATGATCAGTTTATACAGACCGTTTCGTCACTACCGTGAAGTGGTGGTGATGGAATCGGAGGAGAGGATGGGAATAACAACATCAATTTCGACCAAGTCGCATACGTATGCAGGAGGTTAGATGTACTACGATTAGGTTGGGGGATATATTACGATGAAGTTAGGAGAGTCTGCCCTAGCCACCCAATCGAAGCCCGGGAAGATGTTGCTAATCGTCATAGGTGCTTCGGGCGCTCAAAGAATTCACACACTGTTGACTATCTTCCTCCATCATGGATGCTTCAAAGATAAGACGGTATATCAACCGATTCCGAATCCTCATTATCGGAAGAGCGAATGCAGGAAAAACCACCATCCTGCAGAGGGTTTGTAATACACGGAGAACCCAGAAATATACAACAACGCCGGTGAAAAGGTGTGGTCCATGATATCAGTGTACTACTAGTAGGACTGATTGACTAATGAACTTTGAAAATTAGGTCGATCCCGCCGTATTGATGGCATCTAGAGAGGTAAGGCGTGTTCTCATGCTAGTAACATCACTTGACCAATTTCCAGCGCGGAGTGCATGATATCGAAAATGAGATGGTCTTTCGAAGTAACCCTGGATTTGTCTTTCATGATTCACGCGGGTTTGAGGCTGGAGGACAGTCCGAGTTTGATAAAGTGAAGGCTTTTATCACACGTCGTTCTAACGAAAGACTCGGTTTGCGTAACCGAATCCATGTGATATGGTAATTGGTCGATTTTCAGCGTGCGCCATCTCACATCTTTGGCACAGGTACTGCATTCCTATGGATGAGGATGCCAGGTCTTTCACGGAAGCGGAAGTCAAGTTTTTTACGCAATGCAACACTGGAAATAGTAAGCCTTTCTGTCTGCCGTTCGTGTGTCATTGACTCACTCACAATTCTCAGTTGCAGTAATAGTGTTGTTCACTAAGTTTGACGCTCTCTACGACGATGAATTTGCAGAACTGATAAGTAAGGGAGCATCGAGAAAAGACGCTGAAGTGCTGGCCCCGCAGCATGCCAAAGAAGCATTCGAGAATGGGCCACAACTAAAGCTTTTGTACAACCGCAAGGGCAACCAACATCCTCCAAGATGTCACATATGCCTGGCAGGTAAGTCCACTAATTCTCGAGCTGCTAATAAGCAATTCATTGCTTATCTTTGCTCTCCGACATTTAGATATGGACAAGGACGACGCAGACTGCGGGATACTTATCGAATGCACGGCCAAAACTCTGGATGATGATACCCTCAAACAAATGTTTATCTCAACTCAGCGGACCAATGTGGAGTTGTGCATGAGATACGCAGTCGAAATGTAACTCCTCAAACCTCACTCATCTGTGACGAGATAACTCACTGTGCATCGAGAGGACTTGCAGAGCATCTTGACTTCTCCAAGACAATCTCGTCGCGCATATCTGCGAGGTCCGAATGCCAGATTGTAAACAAGTTGGGTCGATGGTTTCCAGCGACTCCAGTGAGAATGTAGGAATTTTTGAGAACTCTCCATTTATATTTCATGCTTAGATTTAGACAGTATTAACGTCTGAACATCTCTGTCAGGATGCTGACTTAAGGCATCGCTGTTCCCTTGACAGGACGTGAGTGTGTTGATCATCTGTCGAGCCCGAGCCTCGCTGATCCCTTGACAGGGTGTGAGTGTGTTGATCCTGTGTTGAGCTCGAGCCTCGCTGATCCAAGACGTCGCTGATCCCTTGACAGTATGTGAGTGTGTTGATCCTGTGTTGAGCTCGAGCCTCGCTGACCGAAGACGTCGCTGATCCCTTGACAGTGGGTGAGTGTGTTGATCCTGTGTCGAGCTCGAGCCTCGCTGACCGAAGACGTCGCTGATCCCTTGACAGGCTGTGAGTATGTTGATCCTGTGTCGAGCTCGAGCCTCGCTGACCGAAGACGTCGCTGATCCCTTGACAGGCTGTGAGTATGTTGATCCTGTGTCGAGCTCGAGCCTCGCTGACCGAAGACGTCGCTGATCCCTTGACAGTTTGTGAGTGTGTTGATCCTGTGTCGAGCTCGAGCCTCGCTGACCGAAGACGTCGCTGATCCCTTGACAGCGGGTGTGTGCTGATCCTGTGTCGAGCTCGAGCCTCGCTGACCGAAGACGTCGCTGATCCCTTGACAGCATGTGAGTGTGTTGATCCTGTGTCGAGCTCGAGCCTCGCTGACCGAAGACGTCGCTGATCCCTTGACAGGTTGTGAGTGTGTTGATCCTGTGTCGAACTCGAGCCTCGCTGACCGAAGACGTCGCTGATTCCTTGACAGGATGTGAGTGTGTTGATCCTGTGTTGAGCTCGAGCCTCGCTGACCGAAGACGTCGCTGATCCCTTGACAGTATGTGAGTGTGTTGATCCTGTGTCGAGCTCGAGCCTCGCTGACCGAAGACGTCGCTGATCCCTTGACAGGCTGTGAGTGTCTTGATCCTGTGTCGAGCTCGAGCACTGATGTCTTGCTAATCACAGTATGCAAGTAGATTTATCCTGGACTATTTCTGCCTTTTGATTATGATTCGTCAGTGTTGCCGCCCCGAAGAAGATCAGATGTGGTCCACGTTACGACTCGGATTTTCGGCATGTCCCATTGCTCACAGCTCACGCACACAATTCTCACCTGAAAAATTCACTAGCCCTCTGGGTCGTCAACATTGGAGAAGATTTTGCAGCTTGGTTCTGGTGAGATTCTATACCACATCGCAATGAATCTGCTGATTATTGATCATAAGCTGCTGTCATTATTTTCGAAAACACTTTCTATCTTTGGAGCCAGCAACGTGGTGGACTTGGGCAATCTGTTCACCCTGTTCGTGTTGCTCTTCAGCAGTACATGGGGTCTCCCAATGCGGCTGCCGTCAGGGAAGCTCTGAGCTCTGCCGTTCGCACATATGAAGCGGATTTCTCACTTGATACCAGGATCGGCCAAACGCTCTCAGAAGAAGGCGGAGTTAATCGACACAATTATTGAAGTTATTTTACAGCACCGCTTGCGTATGTGATATCTGATGCAGTTGTCACAAGGCCCGCTGATATATTCGTGTTCAGCAAGACCTGAAGTCTAAGCAATACGACGATATCCGGAAGATTAGGCTCAGTGAATTGGTGTTTCTTGACGGGCTCATGTCATGTCCGTGGAGGTGGTCAAGGAGGTGGAACTGTATGAAAGTTGTATGATCAAGCAAGTGGCGGTTTTTATGTCGTGGTGGACGCGCGCGCGATGGACAATGTCCTACTCATTTCGGACGATGTTGTAATTTTCCTCAAAGAAAACAAATGTATATTTCCATTCGATTACTTTAGCGTTGGCTGGATCGGCGGTGGCATGGTACACAGCGACGCGCTTTCGCATTATACGTCCTGGTTGCATGGATGAACAGCGGCATTGCTACAAAACGTATCAAAAGTGCATTCTCAGCGCGCACTAGCGTGCTGTCGGTAGACCAACCCTGGTACTGACAGAACAATCAGTACACGAATAGCGATTCAAATAAGAGCGGACACTTACTACCATCGAGAATCTCGAATCAACCCCAGGCGGTTACGAAGCACATGAACTGCATAAGCCTCGCTAGGCGAGTGAGTGCCTTTGGAGTGTCAGCTGCTGAGCAGGATATCATCTGATATCTCCATCGCTGTCATCAAAGGATATGATCATTTTCAATGAAGACCAGAAGTATCCCATTAATTTTACTGAGTGGTGACCAGGGCGTCACGGTGGTGAATGACAAGAACTGATCGATGAATTTCCCCTAACTGCTCAGCACGTCTACATGTTGGTTGAAAGGAATCCTAGAGGCATATATGCATAAGGATCCGATGCGTTGAAGTAGGAGGATGGAAGTTCAGGATGAGTTACCACCGCGACACGTTATTTTTGCGGCATCGATGACTCTGAGCCTGCAGTTGCGTAGTGAGAAGATGATAGACGCGATCCTCACCGGAACGATGAACCTATAGACGGCATCAACTAAGGGCTGCTCAATTCTAAAAGTTCGAGTTCACTTGGATTCAAGCGCCGTCAGACCTTGTCCCAAACAAGACTTGTACCTAAACCTTACGGCGCGCAGCCCCAACACCTGGTATAGTAAGATACTGCAGATGCGCAACCCGTGGCGGGGGTATAATGATACTCAGACCATTACTAGAACAGTTGTAGGATGCAGTGCTTGACTGAATCCATATATCTGAGATATGTTCTCAGGTCGTCTCATTTTTAGTTCGTAGTAACAGTCCAACTAGTAATTACTCACAGTCATGCTGGGTCACTTGAGGCTTCACTTGCTCACGCAGCGTACTTGCACATGCGTCACCAGCACCATCAACGCTGCAGTGGACATCACAGCCATATCAAGGCGAATTCAAAATAAGCGATCCCTACGAGGGACAGTACACATTCCCTTCCAATCGATTTCAGACTGAGCGTGCAATTTTGGTTCTGATATCGTACCTAACTCGTAAATTTCACGCGACGTTATTCTTCGTGGAAGACAACGAAATAGCAGATGTAATCATGAATGACAACAAATGAGATATTATAATCTAAGTACACTGATTGTATGACTTGGCGTGGGCTTGATGAAATTTAAGACGGAGCAAGGTCACAAGTTCGCACAGCGAACCCCTAGTTATTATATAAGCCAGGCTGGTCACGAGTCTACTACATCTAAGTATATTATCATGCTTGGGCCACTCGAAGAGTTCACATACTGTTACCTTCCTCCATTATGGATACCTCAGAGATAAGACATAAAATGCGCTTCCGAATCCTCATTATCGGAAGAGCGAATGCAGGAAAAACCACCATCCTCCAGAGGGTTTGTAATACACGAGAGAACCCAGAAATATATGACAGCAACGGGGAAGAGGTGCGAAACATGATACCAGTGTACTACTAGGAGAACTGATTGACCAATGGACATTGGAACTCAGATCGATCCCGCTGTGTTGATGGCATCTAGAGAGGTATGGCATGTTGTTTGTTGTACGTAGTAACATAACTTGACGAGTTTTTAGCGCGGAGTGCATCATATCGAGAACGAAATGGTGTTTGCAAGCAACCCGGGATTCGTATTCCACGACTCACGTGGGTTCGAGGCAGGAGGACAGTCCGAATTCAAAAAGGTGAAGGATTTTATCGCAAGTCGTTCTAAGAAGAGCCGTTTGAGTGATCGAATCCATGTCATATGGTATTTGGTCAATTTTTGGCGTGTGTTGTTTTACATCTTTTGCATAGGTACTGCATTCCGATGGATGAGGATGGCAGATCTTTCACGGAAGCGGAAGTCAAGTTTTTTTCTCAGTGCGACACTGGAAGCAGTAAGTTGTTGGATCTCTATCTACCTTCGCGTATCATTGATTCATTCCCAATCCTCAATCTTCAGTTGCAGTAATGGTGTTGTTTACTAAATTTGACGCTCTCTACGACGATGAATTTGCAGAGCTGATAAGTAAGGGAGTATCAAGAAAAGATGCTGAAGCGCTAGCCCCGCAGCATGCCAAAGAAGCATTCGCCAATGGGCCACAACTAAAGCTCTTATACAACCGCAAAGGCAACCAACGTCCTCCAAGATGCCACATATGCTTGGCTGGTAAGTTGACTAATTCTCGAGCTGCTACTGCTTATATCTCCTCCCGACATTTAGATATGGACAAGGAGAATGCAGACTGTGGGATACTTATTGAACGCACGGCTGACATTCTGGACGATGATACGCTGAAACAGATGTTTGTCTCAACTCAGCGGACCAACGTTGAGCTGTCCGTGAGATATGCAGTCGAAATGTAACTCCTCAAACCTCACTTATCTGTGACGAGAGACAACTTACTGTATATTGAGAGGACTTGCACGACATCTTGACTTCTCCCAGATATTATCATCACGCATATCTGAGAAATCCACGCGCACAATTGTAGACGAGTTGGGTGGATGGTTTCCAAACACTTCTGTGAGATTGTAAGAATCTTCGAAAACTCCTCATTTGTATTCGGCGCTTACTTTTAGGCAGCACTAATATCCGATCATCATTGCCAGAATGCTGACCTGAGGCATTGCTGATTTCTTAACAGGGTGTGCGTATGTTCATTCTCTGTCGAGCTTGAGCCACGCTGACCGAACGCGTCCCTGTTCCCCTAACAGGATGTGAGTGTGTCGATCCTCTGTCGAGCTTGAGCCTCGCTGACTGAACACATTGCTGATCCCTTGACAGGAGGTGAGCGTGTTGATCCTGTCGAGCTCGAGCCTTGCTGACTGAACACGTCGCTGATCCCTTGACAGTATGTGAGTGTGTTATATTCTCCTGAGCTCGAGACTTGCTGACTGAACACGTCGCTGATCCATTGACAGTATGTGAGTGTGTTATCTTCTCCTGAGCTCGAGCCTCGCTGATCCATTGACAGTACGTAAGTGTATTGATTCTCTGTCGAGCTCAAGCCTCGCTGACAGAACACATCTCTGATCCCTTGACAGGTTGTGAGTGTCTTGATCCGCTGTCGAGCTCGAGCCTCGCTGATCCCTTGACAGGCTGTGAGCGTCTTGATCCTTTGTCAAGCTTGTACCTCGCTGGCCGAATACGTCGCTAATCCCTTAATAGTTTGTGAGCGTGTTGACCCTCTGTCGAGCTCGAGCACTGATGTTCTGTTAATGACAGTATGCAAGTAGATTTATTTCAACCATTTCTGCTCTTTGACCATAATTTATCAGTATCACCGCCCCGAAGAAGATGAGATGTGGTCGGCGTTACGACTCGGATTTTCGGCATGTTCCAATGCTACCAGCTCGTCTGCATAATTCTCATTCAAAGGTTCACTAGTCCTCTGGGTCGTCAACACTGGAGAAAATCATGCAGCTTGGTTCTGGTAAGATTTTACGCCTCATCCAATGATTCTGCTTATTATTGATCATAAGCTACCGTTATTATCTTCGAAAACACTTTCTATCTTTGGGGCCAGCAACGCTATTCCGGTTACCCTGTCCGTGCTGCTCTTCAGCAGTACATGGCGTCTCCCAATGCAGTTGCTGTCAGGGAAGCTTTGAGCTCTGCCATTTCCAAATATGAAGCAGGCCTCTCTCGCTGGAGACCAGGGACAGCCAAACGCTCTCAGAAGGAGGAGTTAATCAACACAATTCTTGAAGTTGTTCTCCGGCACCGCCTGCGTATGTGATATCTGGTGCAGTTGTCACAGTCCCGCTGATATATCCGTATTCAGCACCACCTGGAGTCTAAGCACTATAACGATATCCAATTGATCAGGCTCAGTGAATTACTGTTTCTTAACTGGAGATGGCATGTCCGTGGAGGTGGTTAAAGAAGTGGAACTGTATGAAAGTTGTATGATCAAGTAATTGGCGGTTTTCATGTTATAGTGGACGCGCGCGCGATGGACAACGTCCTACTCATTTCGGACGATGTTGTAACTTTGGTCAAAGAAAACAAATGTATATTTCCATTCGATTGCTTTAGCGTTGGCTGGATCGGCGGTGGCGTGGTGCACAGCGACGCGATGGGTGGGCTTTCGCATTCGTCCCGGTTGCATGGATGAACAGCGCCATTGCTACAAAACGTATCAAAAATACATTCTCAGCGTGAACCAGCGTGTTGTCGGTAGATTAACCCCGATACTGACAGAAACGAAAAGCGATCCAAATAAGAGCAGACACTTACCATCGAGAATCTTGAATCAACCCCGGGCGGTTACGAAGCACATGAACTGCATAAGCCTCACTGGGCGAGTGAGTGCCTTTGGAGTGTCAGCTGCTGAGCAGGATAATATCATCTGATATGTCCATCGCTGTCGTCGAAGGATATGATCATTTTCAATGAAAACCAGAAGCGTACCATTCATTTTACTGAGTGGTGACCAGGGCCTCACGGTGGTGAATGACAAGAAGTCATCGAGGAATTTCTCCTAATGTAGTCCGTCGGCTCAAGTCAAGCTCAGCACGCCTACATGTTAGTAGATCGAGAGGAGTCCTGGAGGCATTAGTGCCACTAGGACGCGTTGAAGTAGGAGGACGGCAGTTCAGGATGAATGATCTCCGCGACACGTTCTTTGTGTGGCATCGATGACTCTGAGCCTGCAATTGCGTGGTGAGAAGATGATAGACACGATCCTCACCGGAACGATGAACCTATAGACGGCATCAACTAGATAAATTTATGTATTTCATCAAAGCCCCCTGAGATTCTAGAGAACTGTTCATGATATTTTTAGATTGGTAATTGGATATATTCAATGACTAACGCTGATGAGGACATGAGGATTATATACTGTGTGGTGATGCTGTCAATGCCAAGTAGAACCGCGAGTCACTATAAAGCTATTATCGTAAAGCGTTAAGTGGATAACAAAAGGGCCAAACAGATTAAGCTGCTTGACCAGCAGCCGTCGTACCAGTCGCCGCTGGCCTTAACAAGTACCAGCAACAGGTATCAAGTCCGCATCCACATCACAGACCTCATGGGTACCAGTGAATGCACCCATATGGTCAACAGCAAGGTTCCTAGCACCGATTGGCATAACACCAGCATCATGAGCCAGACCAACATTACGAGTCGCTTTGAAGCCATCGGAGGTACCCTCAACTGCGCCAGAGGCAGGAGAAACTCCCTTGGTGCCCTGTACGCCTGCGGGACTTGCAGAACCACCGGGAGTGAGACGCTCAGTCGCACGATGGACGATACCAGTGCCATGCTGAATATCACCAATAACATCACGAGTCTTCGAACCACCGACAGGAGCGATAGCACTACCCGCACCATGTTTTGGTACGGTAACCTCGCGACGAGAAGACTTGAAACTTTCTGTGCTTCCAGTTGAAGCACTAGAGCCAGGAATAGCGGCTCCGCTTTGTTGCTCAGAGCCAGCGGTAACACGGTCGGACCCAGGAATGCATGTATCCATAGCAGAACTGACGACGAAGCCCTCTGCGCAGTATTTCACAATGCAACGCCCGTTACCACAAGAAACAGTGTCAGGAATGACGCCCTTGATATCCTTGCAGTTCACGCCAGTGACGGGTGCGTGTCCGAAAGGACATGCCTCAACACATCCACCACCTGTTGATATGAGAGTCTAGTGACGTAACTGCGAGGAGACAACTTACAAGTTGTAGGATCGGTTGTAACATCGACACACTTCCAAGGTTGACCAGTGCTAGTACCAGGGACCCCACACATGGTGCGGCCAGCGGCACATTGGGGCTCATTGTCACGACGGGACGGAGGTGCTTTGCTGGGGCACACCGTAAAAGGACCGCACTTTCCATCACACTCCATGAAGTTGTCAGGACATTTACAAGAAGTGGGCCTCTCGGAAGGGAAGGCTGAGTAACCATCAGCGCATTCAAAATCGCACGGATTGGAATCCGTGCAAAGAGCACGAGCGTGATCAGGGTAAGAGCAGTGCGAGGCTGTCGGAAGGCCTGTGACCTATTACAAATTCAGTGAATGCAACTGAGAATTATACAGAAAATATTACCATGTCCGAGATCAAGGCCTCCACCTTAGACTCGTCGCAAAGAAGTTCGACAGCTTGCTGTGCAACGGCGTTGGATTCCACGAATTTGGCCAACATCTGAGAGGCAAAGGCAAGCTTCGATGTGGCCTGCAACAGTGGGATTGCCTGATTCAAACGGATGGTCGGCTCTCGAGTCTCAAAGCGAAATAAAACTAGCGTACCATAGCTATCGATGACCTCGTTGAGAACCAGGTCAGAGTTGAGAGAACCACAGATATCTTGCATAAGGGCGCGCCTGTGAGGCCTGTGAGGATGCGGTAGCTTAGAGAGAGCGAATGTGGTTGATACAGAGAGGATGGGGACAGCAAATGACGATAACCTCATGATGGTAAAGAACGACTTGGAAAAAGAATGTGAGATAAGATGCAGAAGGTGAGAGAAGTTGGAGGGAAGGGCTGAAGGAGAAAGGACGACGAAAGGCCCATTATATATGCTAGGGCTAGCCATTATAGTATTAAATACACTCGCTTATGAGGCTCTTCACAAAATTCACCACAAAAGTTACAACATACCTGGTGACGTCACGCGTGGTGGCGTAGATCTATGGCGGACTGTTCACAAACAATCAACGCGTTGCGATTGGGTGAAGAGCTTGAGCTTGAGCTTGAGACCTTCAATGCCATTTTGCAAGCGAGCATAACCAGTTCAAGTTGAATCATCTAGAGGCAACTGAGGACGCGATTTCCAAGTCGGAGCTAATTATAATTACCAATTCAATATTCAATAACGGAGTATATGCTAAATTAGTCTCCGCACGGCGAAAAGAAAACACAAACTCTGTTCACCGGTTGTTCGACCTTACTCATACCGTGCCGTAGTAATGTTGCAGCTGTTGTTCGTCGTGGTGAAATCGGAATTACTCGGGCTGATCAATCAATGACGCAGTCCCGGTTGCCCGTATCGTTCCGCACTCAAGTCCAAGTCTCCACGCCTGGACGGCTCCCCCCGATCGGGCGTCAGTTACCAAATATAAGTACTGCAGACTGTTTGACTGATTTATAGGCCACCGTCGCGAAAGGCAACAAGAGCAAGCTTTAAAACCTCACACTAATACAACAATGAAGATCCTCACCCAGGAAGAAATCGACGGCCACACCAACGCTACCATCCGTGGTGCAACAGAAGGCGCACTTCTAAGCGCAGCCGTCGCTATCCCCGGTTCACTACTGCTTAACCGTCGATGGGCATCCTACCGGGCACTCCCTCTACCTTTAAAGGTTATGGGTACCGTCATGGTGATCGCGCCTTGCATATCCATTCAGGGTGAAAGACGTGGTCTAGAATTCGATCGTGCACACTGGTGGGTCCCAATTCCTGAACCGAATATCGCCCTCTAACGCCCCGCAGGACTGGCGCAGGTAAAATGGAACTGGATAGAGAAGCAGCAGTGGAAGAAGCACGATGGGAGGCTCTGACAATGAAAGAAAAAATCGGTGACTGGGCAACACGACACCAGTATAGCATCATTCTTGGAAGCTGGGTTCTATCAGTGGCAGTTGCTGGCACCATTATCTCTAGAGATAGGTTTGTGGTCTCCCTTACGTCGACGGTTCTTCCTCGTCTCTGATCACAGACATGTGCAGACATCAGACGTTACCCCAAAAGATCGTTCAAGTGCGTATGTGGGCACAGGGCTTGACTATTGGCGTCTTGATTGGCGCTGGTATCCTTACGCATAATCAGCGCCAGGCCGCCCTTCAGCGCGTGAGTCCCAAGCTTGATGTATCCATATGTGTGGATACTAATTCCTTCCAGCGGCCGGTTGACCACTCGTGGCAAGCCTTGGTTCGTGTAATTATCTTATCGCCGACCCACAATGCTCATCACCCTTATACAGCTTGTAGAGCAAGCAAGAGAGAAGGAGGAGCAAACAAAGGCGCATCTAAACGCTCCAACTGCCTCCTACCCTCTATAGAGTGCTCGCACTTGTTACCCACCCATAGACGGATACATTCATCTCATCATCTCATGATTATATATTAACTTGCAACCAAGGTTTCTGGAGTCAGTGCACAATTACTTCATTTTTCGTCCTTTGGGTCGATGGTTCTAAGTTGGAAATACCTGCTCAGCCGACGCTTGACTCCATGCTTCAAAGTTTGAACTATATATTCCACGTATGGTGCAGACAGTGACAGCGTCATTCGCAGCTTCTTCTTGTGGGTTGGCTAGTTCGAATATTCCATGACGCTATCTCACATTCAATTATGACCATGGACAATCGCAGGTCTAGATCTAATCCAAAGCGTTGGTGCGTGTATGTTCTTCGCTTGAGATTTGGCATCCACGGGCGCTGGTGTGTGTCTGTTCTTTTCTTCAAATTACACACAGACCCGTATTGCGAACGATGTTGTCGTACTCCTGGTATGGGAATATGAAATATGGCTTCAGCACAACGGGAAATTTCTGAACGCCTCTTTGTGCCGGTGTGGCTTATATGCTCGTCATGTGCCGGCGAAATGCATGTCGCCATCGTGGTGAGTACGGTCTCTCACGTAAACCGGGGTTCAACATACTACCCTATCTAATGGATTAGACTATAACGTGACCATATGCCTGTTCTCCCGCTGTCCATGCAAGTAAACGGTCAAGCATCGGTAAATAACCGACGGGTTGTAGTCCGTTTTAGTATTGTGGCACCAAGAGACTGATCAGAGACTACGTCCAAATCCTGCGTGACAGTGGCAATAGATATGAAAGCAACGATACGGTCCTTAGACTCGAAGCTTGAGATCTGAGGACCAAGTCATCGCATGGGTAAATAGCGTCCAAGGTATAAGTGTCATTATTTCGTTCGTCCTCTCGTAAAGGCACACCTGCTACGGCCTTCCAGATATAGCGACTCAAACTTCCCAACCGCACTCTCTATTCAGGATGCTGGCACCCCCGGGTACGATATAGCCGCCCCCATTTCGTCCACCAATCCTCCACCGCTTCCCGAGCGTCAAAAGCGAACAAGTCGATATACTCTTCCCATGTGTCACGCAAAAACTCTTCTTCTGCGTCGTCCCAGTCAAGCAACGCACGCGCTCTTGCATCTCGTAAACCGTCATCGCGAGCTTGCTGTTCAGGACCAATGGGCAAGCATACGAAATCTCGTTTCCGTAGTTCAGAAGCTTGCGTCGCGGCGCAACGTGGCTGCCGTAGCTCTTCGTAAGCGGAAAGGAGAACGGAGGTATGCGATTTGGCGGCTGGGAGAGAAAAGAGAGTCGATAGTGTCATGGCATCCTCTATCGACATTGCAGCGTTATGTGACCCGTTGGGCTGTAGAAACCAGTAATCATTGGGTGATGTATACGATGAGGAAGGAAATGTACATACCATCAATGGGTGGGCGGCCTCACCAACTAGCACTACTCTTCCACTTTCATGAACCCAGTTATCAAAGGGTTCGTAGATAGTATGGCCAGTTGGAGTCATAGTCTGCGCAAATCGTACTAGCTTTTGTACTTCTGTTCACGAACATCAGCAATGTCGAGGGAAATGAACCATGAACGTACCTAGGTTCAAAGCGGTCCAGCTTCAAAAACTTCTCATCCAAAGGTTGTGACCGTGCCCATGAGTCTTGTGCTGGTTTTCCATCCGTAGGAACATGCATGACTATGGCATATTCTTGTTTGAATGACTTGGGATCAACCTTTCGGAAAGTTAGGTAGTGTTCTATCGGGCATTCGTGACCAGGGTACACACGGTGAGTAGCCCATGCATCGCGCAATCATCAGCCCAGCCATAGTGACCACTAATTAAGCGTTAATATCATATAAAGATGCGATCACCATCTTCATTTTCATACCTCTGGTGAGACCGTTAATTGAAAAAGATCCTTGTGTGGCCGCATCAGGTCTGTGGGCACGGTGATGCTACGAGCGGTAATCCGCATTAGCCGTAAAAACAAATGATCGGTAAAAGGAGTGCCTACTTCACCGATACGCGCTTATCCAAAACGCCTTTGATTCCTTCAGGACCAACCACCACAGGACGAACGACGCTCCTGTAACCATCCGCACCAATAATCACGTCCGCAGACAATCTAGCACCCTTGCGCGTGACCACCACGCCCTTCCACGGATCGACCGAGACGACTTCTGTGTTGTATCGGAACTGAACGCCGGCATTCTTGGCAAACTCGACGAACATCGCGTGCAGTGCTCCATGCTATTACATACTCATCAAAGATCCGAAAATGTCGCATATAACGAACGCGGCGGACCTGCATATATAGAAAATCCGCCGCCAACGCCTTCATAAGCTTCTCGTGCAGTACGAGAGGGCCGAGTTCTTCCCCGGATTTCCCTGCAAGGAAACTTTATGAATACAGACGGATAACGGAGATCTTTTGGGGCATTATTTTACCATTCCTGAATGTAAACCTGTTAGCTTTTATCGAAACCCTGGCGATTGCAGGTCCGAGTCCCCAATGATTTAGCAGGCGCGTCATATTTGGTGGACACCGTATTCCGCCGTGACTCTAGATTGGGTCTAAAATTCATACCGCTCAGGACGGGATGAAATGGATTACATACATTACATCTCCCGTCGCCCTGCTCCACGACCAATACTTGATGGCCCGCTTCTTGTAGCGCATATGCACAAGCGACGCCTGCGATGCTCCCTCCAACGACTACAAAGCGCAGCATCTGCGAAGTCCTTCTAGGGATGTTCTGCAGTCCTCCCGGCATGATGAACGTCGAGTCCTGCAATGATGAAAAGTGTGGGTACGAGTCCCAGGTAGCAAATGGTTATGGTTACGGTTATGTAGCCCGGTGAAGGGAACTTAAGTTGACAGCAGTGAGTGACTCCACCACGCGGAGACCGGTGGAGTTGTGGGTGAAAGTGGATTTTGTCGTGCTCAGTAGGTAAAAAAAAAGACAGTCCTCACTCGAAGAAGGGAAGCGAGCCCATTAATATATGGTTCGCTACATGCACCACAAAAGAAGATTCTCCGGATTCATGATTTTGCTGGTATAAATCCGTGCATTCGTTATCAGTTTTTCATCATCGCACGTAGGTCGGTCGGTCGGTCTAGTCGAAACCGGTCGTCCCACGATGACACTGATTCTTGTTTACTCACTGCGAGAAGAGATTTGGGTTGCCTGTGTGGATCTAGCCGTTCTGTGACTTGGTAGACTAAGGAATCTACAGGTCAGCTAATGGGTTATCATGCATATGATAGAACGGGATTTGTTCTTTGCTCTCGGTCTGTGGGGAAGCGGTGCACCGAGGAGTGGGTGTCATGCGGGTGTAGTGCTTTTCTGATTGTTTTCTTGTTTTTCTGTGGTTTGATCGATCGCTACAAGTGATTTACGTAAATATTACTAATTTACACATGAGTTTCATTTATAGCTCAGCGCTCAAGTCTGGCACAACCAATAAGAGCCCTAACAAGCGGATCAAGAGAGCATCGGAGTGGGCTTTGGACGGTGACCGCCGATGGCTGATGTTTTCATTCTACCGCCTGAAGAATTTAGCCTGGAATGGAGTCCATTGCATTTGCAGCAGCAGAGCAACGATTCTATCAATGCCAAGATAACTATCGGTTCAAATTTAAGAGCCAAGGACATGTCTCAATAATATCGGGGCAAGATACATTCAACTTGTTGGCAACTAACACTGCGTCGGAAATACCCGTTAGAATCGCATAATGCTTAAACTTAAGGGCCCTGCTCACACATCGGGGTTATCAATCCTATCACCCGAGAGATCACCAGATTGACTGGAAGGTAATATGCAGAACATATTTGCAAAATAATTTACAATTGTATATATTTTTAGCACGATGGTTCCACCAAAAGTACCAAGAAACCACTCGAGATGACCACGGAAACAACGGCTTTCTGCAGTCAAGCGTGCAAATTTAAAACAGGGCTGTTGAATAATAAATACTCGGTCGTCCTTCTAAGAACAGGATGTCATCGAAAGGATACAACCTCCAAAGGCGAAACAAAAACACGAGCACCTGGCTCTGGGACTTAAGATTTGCTACCGGCCGGTTTCGAATTCGAATTAGCGTGACCTTCTGTCGACGCATTTGTGTCGGATGGCGGCGAAACATCAGGATATAACTGTAAGATATAATCGTATCAAACATCTAGGTCGCAGAGGAATTGCCTACCTTCCCTGGATTGAACAAATTATGGGGATCTAGCGTCTGTTTGATCGTTCTCATGAGGGCTACTGTGCCTTCCCCAAGTTCAGTCAAGAGGTAGTTCCGTTTACCTGCACCAACGCCGTGTTCCCCAGTGCCTAAAGCGTGAAACAGATTATGAACACTAACACTTCACTAACTAAAGACAACACTCACATGTTCCTTCGAGTTCGATGGCTTTGCGATTAATCCTACCAACTGCTTCTCGTACAAGAGCAAGCTCCGCGTCGTCCGCGTAGAGAACAAGAGCATGGAAGTTACCTTCGTAGCACAGCATGAGTGAATACGTACACAAGTGTGCCAAAGAACGCACCATCGCCAACATGGCCAGCGATCGGTGCAACTAGACCGAGTTCCTCAAAGTCTTGCTTCGCAGCAGAGATAAGATCGGGTAGGCGTGACACTGGGACACTAAACAAATACAGTTAATGAAACGCGGGTGAGCAAATGATGTGGTTTCGTCATAGGGCGCCGTACTTACCATACGTCAGTCATCCATCCTTGACATCCCGGACGATATGCAAGGCACGCGAAAAGCGCATTTCTCCGGTCCTGCCAGATATCCTCGCTTTCCTGCTCGTTTGAAGCAAGTTGGTAGTCGGTCGCACCGTGCTTCGTAATCACGCTTTCCACGTAGCGTGACGTTTCCTGAATCACATTATCGGAGCCTTGGAACTTGAAGAAGAGAGTAACTTTCTCTGGCCATTTTCTCGCAGACGTCCCATATCGATTTAGCGCCTTGATCGTAAGTTCATCGATGATCTCGACGCATTCTGTGGGGAACAGATATGACCCGCTCGGCATTTAGCACCTCTGAAGGGCTTCTGACTTACGTAGTGCTGCGCCGTGGTTCAAGATGTCACACACTGCATTAGTTGCATGCCGAATATCAGAGAATTGCGCGATGGCAACGGTGCTCGGCAGAACGGGGGCTAGACGCAATGTAGCTGTAGCAGAATGACAAGCCACAAAGGAACATCAGCAAGTGTAACTAAATACACAGACACCCTCCACCCACCTTCCGTGATAATTCCGAGGGTACCTTCCGCACCTATGAACAACTTGGTGAGATCAAAACCCGCCGATGACTTGCGGGCGCGCTGTCGCGTCTTGATCACTTCGCCTGACGGAAGTACCACTGTCTTGCAAACCTCCTTCATAAGCCAAATGATATTCTTAGCATAACTGAGAAGCTCACTCACGATGTTCAGAATCCATTCGCCTCTTGCTGTTCCATATCTGACCGCATTGGCTTGAGAAAGTTTGTAAGATTTCCTTGGATTTTGCGAGGTTCTGACTCACTTCCAGAGCACCCAGTTGAGATCATGCCACCTATCGTGGCACCGCGACCAGGATCAAGCTAGCAGATCCTTATCACTCCGGGAAAATGGTTTCATTTTATTTGATACATACCGGAAAAAACAACGGAATGCCTGAGAATACGTCAGTCAGTGTTGTAATACCGGCTACACAACGACATACCCTTTTCCTTCAACGTTTCATTCAGATCATTCCAGGTGACACCAGCTTGGCAAACCACATCTGCATCCGACTCTGTGACCAAACATCACATTAGCATCAACGGAGATTCAAGATCGTGTAGGATCACGCCTACCATTGATTGCTATGATCTTGTCAAGAGCAGATAGATCTACGCATATTGATCCAGCGGATGGCTATAAAATGCAGCATGATTTAGTCAGAAAAAGGTATGATGACATTAAGGAGTGTATTTTCGTACAGCAGACAAGTTCCCTTCCAAGCTAGTCCCTCCTGAATATGGTACAATTGGAACTAGATACTTGTTAGATATTTTTACTACCTTTACAACATCTTCGGTGCTTCGAATGTGTACAACAATGGTGTGCGGTGATCCTGTGAAATTTTATGGTTTAGAGTTCGAGGAAAACTGAGAAGTAAACTGACCAACAAACTGAGAGTATGCCGATTGTGCGTAAGCATACAGTTCACTGGGGTCGGTAGATACAATAGAGGATTCTGGGAATTCCGCCTGTAAATCTTCGAGGGCCTTGACAAAATTGGGTATCGGGCCAGAACCAGTCTGGAGAGCAGTGGGAACAGCCTCGACGATGGCTTTCGCTGTCGGATTTGGAGAGCCAGTGTCTCGAGAGCGAGCGAGGGCAAAGAGTGAAGCTCCACCAGCGATTACAGCAACTGCAACTGCAGATCCAAAGGATTTGGCGGTTCTGGCTGCAGTAGTACTGTAAACTCGGCGGGAATGGGTCTTAATTTGTCGCGAGAAAGGATGAGTATTGATGCATCTTGGGCTTGCGGGGGAAAAGAATCGCAAGGAAGCCTTGCTCGCTCCAGCGCAAAGACCGAGAAAGACGAATCGTGTAACTGCAACGGTCATAACTGGCACATGGGTCTGATACAAGGGGAGACGTGGAGAAAGCTTCGTATCATCTTGTGCCAGTCATCAGCGGGACTTTAAGTGATTGATGGAGCGGCTTGCCCATCGAAAAGACCCCAGACATGTTCGGTTCCACTTGACATTAATGACGGAATTACCTCACCGGCGTTAACGAGTATATTCAATTACCAATTTAGAAATGTCGCTATGAAACACACAAATCTATCTATAGTTGGTGCACTTCCACCGTTTCAGTCATGAACGCGTCTCACCACGATTTCGCAGTTGCTAGTCATCCGGGTCACTGATGGCGCAAAAAGGAACGTGTCGCGGTGACAACCCATCCTGAATTGCTGTCTTCCTGTTTCAACGTGTCCTGATGCCTCCAGGACTCCTCTCGACCAACATGTAGGCACGTTGAGTTTGACTTGAGCCGATGGACTACATAGTACATTGGCAGTATTTCCTAGATGAATCCTTAACCTCTGCTATTGATCGCCCTGGTCACCACTCAGTAAAATCAACGCTTTTGATCCAAGTCGGTTGGAAATGATCATATGGCAGCGATGGAGTTATCAGATAATGACCTGCTCAGTAAGGGGGTGACACTCCAAAGACTCGCTTGCCTAGTGAGGCTTATGCAGTTTGAGGTTTGAATCGTCATATCCTTTGTAACCGGCCGGCGTTGATTCTCAATTGATGGTAAGTGTCAGCTTTCAACTTGATCACTGTCTGTGTGCTTACTTTCTATTAGTATCGGTGTTAGTCACGACAGCACTCTAGTTCATGCTGAGAACGTACTTTTGACGCATTTTGTAGCGATGCCCCTGGCCATCCATGCAACCATGGCATTGTACTAGGGACGTAACATGATAGCCTACCCCATCACATCGCTATGCACCACGCCACCGCCGATCCAACTAACCTGAAAGCAATTGTATGGAATTATACAGTTCTTTTATGTGAGGAAAGTTACAATATCGTATGAAATAGGTAGGATGCCATCCATCACCCGCACATACACTATGACATAGATGAAGCTCATTGCTTGTTCATACAATGTTTCATACAATTCCACCTCCTTACCACCTCCAGGGACATGCCATCAGCCAGTCAAGAAATGACAGTTCACTGAGCCTGATCTCTCGGATATTGTTATAGTGCTTAGACTCCAGGTGTTGCTGAGTACGGATATATGAGCGGGACTGTGACAACTGCACTAGATATCACATATGCAGGTGGTGCTGTACAACAATTTCAGTGATTGTGTCGATTAACTCTGCCTTCTTCTTAGAGCGTTTGGCCGACCCTGGTATCCAGCGAGAGAAACCTGCTTCATATGTGCGAACGGCAGAGCTCAGAGCTTCCCTGACGGCACCTGCACTGGGAGACGCCATGTACTGCTGAAGAGCAACACAAACAGAGTAAACAGACTGCTGCCCAACCATAGAGCATTGCAGGTCCATAACATAAAAAGTGCTTTTGAAGACAATAACAGCAGCTTATGATCAATAATAAGCATACTTGTTGTGATGTGGCGCGGAATCTCACCAGAACCAATTTGCATGATTTGCTCCAATGTTGACGACCCAGAGGGCTAATAAACGTTTGAGATGAGAATTATGTGGACGAGCTATGAGAGATAGGACATACCAACAATCGTAAAATGGACCACATCTCATCTTCTTTGGGGCGATAACGCTAATGAATCATGATCAACAGGTAGAGATGGTTGAGGATACATCCACTTGCATACTGAAATTATCAATACATCAGTGATTGAGCTTGACAGATGGTCAACACACTCACATCCTGTCCAGGGATCAGCGACATGTTCAGTCAGCGAGGCTGGAGCTCGACAGATAATCAACACACTCACATACTATCATGGGATTGGCGATGTGTTGGGTCAGCGAGGCTCAAGCTTGACAGAGAATCGACACACTCACCCGCTGTTAAGGGATCAGTGATGTGTTTGGCCAGTCCCAAGCTCAACAGATGATCAACACACTCACCCACTGTCAAGAGATCAGCGATGTCTTCAGTCAGCGAGATTCCAGCTTGACAGAGAATCAACACACTCACGATCTGTCAAGGGATCAGTGAGATATTTGGTCAGTGAGACTTGAGCTCGACAGAGGAACGACACACTCACAGACTGTCAAAGGGTCAGTAAAGTGCTCAGTCAGTGAGGCTCAAGCTCAACAGAGGAATAATACACTTACATACTGTCAAGAAATTAGCAATGTGTTTGGTCAGTGAGGCTCGAGCTTGGCAGAGGATGGACACACCCACCCACTGTCAAGGAATCAGCGAAGTGTTTGGTCAGGGAGGCTCAAACTCGACAGAGGATCAAGACACTCACATTCTGTCAAGAGGTCAGCGACGTGTTCATTCAATGAGACTCGAGCTCAACAGAAGATCGACACAACTCACCTCCTGTGAAGGGGTCAATGAGGCATTCGGTCAATGGGGTTCGAGGTCGACAGATGATCAACACACTCACGTCCTGTCCAGGGATCAGTGATGTATTTAGTCAGTGATGCTCGAGCTCAACAGAGAATCAAACACACTCACGTTCTATCAGGGGATAAGTATTCAGTCAGCGATGCTCGAGCTCGACAGAGGATTAACACAATTACCCTCTGCCAAGGGATCAGCGGTCCATTTGGTCAGTGAGGCTCGAACTCAACAGAGAATCAATACACTCACCATCTATCAAGGGGCCAGCGACGTTCAGTCAGTCTCGAGCTCGAGAGAGGATCAACACACTCACAGCCTGTTAAGGGATCAGCCACATGTTCTATCAGTCTAGAGCTCGACAGAGAATCAACACACTCACCTGCTGTCAAGGGATCATCGACGTGTTCGGTCAGCGAGGCTCGAGCTCGACATAGGATCAACATGCTCACTGACTGTTAAGGGATCGGTGGCATGTTCGGTCAGTGGGGCTTGAGCTCGACAGACAATCAACACACTCACCATCTGTCAAGGGATCAGCGACGTGTTGGGTTAGCATGTTGGCAGAGAAAATTTAGTACTGCCTAAAAGTGAGCGTCGCATATAAATGGGGAGTTTTCAAAAATTCCTACAATCTCACTGCAGTACGTGGAAACCATTCACCCAACGCGTCTACAATCTGGTTTTTGGATTTCCCAGATATGCGCAACAAGACTGTCTTGGAGAATTCAAGATGCCGTGCAAGTGTCCTTAATACACAGTGTTATCTCTCGCCACAGATAAGTGAAGTTGTCACGAGTTCCAAATACAAACCATTATTCGTTCCTTAATTCTAAGTCCTTTAAGCACCCAGTCACAGCGCCTGTTCCTAAGAATATGTTTACTGTTGAAGAAGTTCCTAATATTGCGTCTATTGTAGAATTACCAGAGTCATGTGATCTATCGGACAATGCCGAAGATGTTGACGTCATGCCTCGCGACACTCTTGGAATGTTCCAGAGTCTTACTGCGGCTGTGGCACATGTTATGACATCATAGTTATATATAGAATCGTACGATACCTTTAATTATTCTGATTGGTTAGTTAGTTCATACTCAGTTTCGATCTCAGTTTCAATATGTGTATATAGGTAGCTCATCGTAGTCAGTAGTTCTTTAGTTCAAACCTCTTGTATCTCCAAGTGAGCAATACCAAGACGTACCTGCTGCCTACCTCCTCTGTGTGATTATTCTGTTGTTTGAGTCCTAGTCTCTGCCCAGCGTTAATTCGTTATTGGGTTGTGACATTAGGTTTGAACTATAGGAGACTCCAACTCGCGTTACACTCTCGCATCTCTCTTTCTTTTGCTTGGTCGTGTTGATACCCATCACACCATCAACCGAAACAAAGCCGTTATACTTTTGCCCAGCTTAACCGCCATGATCTTTGATTTCATCCCTTTGCTCATTTGAGCGCATTTTCATACCTATCATCTTTCTTAGTTAGTAGTCCTATACCAGGCCCTGTCTTACCACAGCCGCCAGTATACGGAGGTGTTCACGACATTAGGTGTGTCACTGCAACTTTGAGTGCTGGCCCAAAACCCTGCCTGCTCAACGTTACTATAGTTTCATTTTACCTATCCCTTTCTTCATATGCACGTAGGCATTCGTTTCGAGTCAATAGCGGAACTGTCTAGACGACAAACTGTGCTTTCGACCTATGAGGATTTAGAGACATACCCTAGTGAGACTCGCACTTGTAAGCTTTGGCTGGAAGAGTGATAACTTGTCCTAGGCTTGTACCCTCAGAATGGAGATTGCATTGTCCCTAGTTTTTCCCACTTGATCGAGTATAGTTTACGTATCCTTTTTAGTTAGTATTAGGGAAGCATCGGTTGGGTTGATTAAAGAACCCTTCGATCCTGAAGTACGTGGTAGATCTGATCAGATATCGGGGACCGCTTCAGTTTTCCATTTACATAACTTTCTTCTTTTCACCATCATTCCCTTCCGGAAGAGCCCTTACGAGCAGCTCTTCAAACAGACATCAGTGAATCGGGTTCCAGAACACAACTGGCACTATGTCTGAATTACCAAACTCTCCTGTACAACCTACACCAGTGATATTACCATCTACTCCACAGGAAATTGTCGAGTACATTCATATGTCACTTGCAAATCAAGTGGACAGCTTCAGAAGCAGAATCGGAGCCCCTTCAGTGACAAATTCCAGTATTATACGGGCCACCCGACCTCCATAATATCCTGTATGAGACGGGCCAGCTGATCATGGGCCCATGTTGTGTATATTCTCGATGATGACGGATGGGCCGGGACTCATATTATTTCCGATGGAGACGGGTGGGCCCATGTATGCCAATGATATATATATCCTTAATGTTGACGGATGGGCCGGGGGAATATGATCATTCATGGAGATGGGTGGGCCCATCTGGGTAATATGTAGAGTAGGATATTATAGACAGCTGGGCTGAAGAGAGATGTAAGGCAAATATTGTTATATAGACGGGCGGGCCGACGTGGGTGTATTACATATATGGGTGGGCCGAGGTAGGGGAATATTACATAGACAGGTGGGCTGACGTAGGGTGTATTACATATACAGGTGGGCCGACGTGGAATGTATTACATATACGGGTGGGCCGACGAAAGAGATATCAAATAGACCGGTGGGCCGAGGGTGCTATAAAATATTTATTACATAGACAGGTGGGCCGAGGTGGGGT